ATTTCCAATCTAAATAAAAAAATTCACTTAAATAAATAACTACATCACCGTTTATTCCATCGCGTCCATCTTTTCCTGGCGTAAAAAAGCAAATCAATTTTCTTATGTTAGGTAGGTAGATAAACCGTTCATTTTTTTGGTGAAATGTTATTCATTTTTAAGTTAATAGCTCGATGAATGCACCAGAAAGTAACTTTCATACACCCACCGTTTTGTCCATCTTTTCCGTCTTTTCCTGTCCAGAAATTAACAGAAACCAGACATCAGTGAAGAAACTCGAATTTCTTTCTTTCTCGCCCATAGGCAGAGCATATGCAAATAACTACATGCTCGTAACAAGTATTGACGTATTTTTATTATTTACCCACCATCTTTACAGTATCCAGCTTGTGAAGCACTGCAGTTTGATCTTGCCGCTGTTCCACGACTCTGTTTTTTTTAGTTAAATAAAAAAAATTTAAATAAAAACGAAAAGCGTACTCATAAGTTATAAAAAGGGGTCACTTGGGAAATTACACGCTCGAGCAAAACTCAAAAATTCTCACTTGCACTCTAATTCCGATTCGACTACAATTAGGTTAAACCTTGTTATCAATTTGGTTACCTGATTAGCAGATTTGTTCTTTGATTTTGCGAAGGAACTCAACAAAAAGGCAAGAGCCAATACAAAGAATAAGCGAAACATTTTCACTCTCAGCGCCCTCCGATATGAAATGGCAGACGAATCAGTCAGAATACAGGGAACAACTTTCAAACTCTGTTTATTTTGCCCCACAACAGGAAAATTCAGGATGTCCAAGGGCTTGTGTTATGAATAGTGTTTACAATGCACAATGAGAATTTGTAGTTTATGGATTATGATATGCTAACTGACCAACTACGATGAACTTCTTATGTCTCCTTAAAACATCGTTATCTTGCACAGTGATCTGTTAAGGAGAATTTAGACCCTTATCAGTGAAGACGAGTTGTTTGGTCTTTAAGTAAATTCTCACAAAGAAATGCAGTAAAAAAAAAACATTTTGATCTGGGGAAGGAAAGGTGTCCATAGTAAGAATTTAGCTCGCTTTACATCATTATAAGGAATTTTTCAAAAATTTAATGGATGATATGAGCCTTTAAATACAGGTTTTCCTGACAGAATGATTGGTTACTCGTTTTCCTTCAAGCTGAAGGTCAACATCCCTTGCAGCTGGATAGAGATTTGTAGATAATAGGTGCGAATAATAGCTTAGACTATTTTAAGTAGTTCAAGTTATTATTTATAACAAAGATTTTAATTTACATCGATTTTTGAAACACATTAACTTACGACAAAAATACTTTACTTCAGACCCGCACTATAGAACAGGATACACAACTAGCAAGGCAAATAATTATTTAACCTTCAGTCCTCTCAAAACACCATAAGAAAACTAGATATCAGTAGTATTTTAAATCGTAATAGTAGGTGTTGCTACCTCTATAAATAGTGATATTATGTTTTGGATTCAGATCATAGATTGTACATTTTAGATTGTAAATGTGAGATTAGACTGTGTAGTTGGTGTAAGGCTCTTATTAATTTTTTTCAATGTTTTATTGTCAGCTAAATTCTATGTCGGCTATGTGTAGTGTCCCCAAATAGCTCGTACCTAAATACATTTGACACTAAAGTAAATGTTTGTTAACATTTAAAACCTTCTGTCTAAATTTATATTTGTTGAGAAAATAAACGGAAGGAGTACAAGGAAACCAGAAAGCAGATGCAACGAGCACCATAAAGTGACACGTACTCAGGATGCAAACAAGGCTGAGAGAAAAACAAGGTAAGCCATGCTTGTTGTGGTCGCACGGTCTTGGCGCATGTTTATAATCAGTGATAACTTTTTAATACAGCTAGGAGAGCGTTCAATAAGCACTTAAATGGACTCTCTTTCAAAGAGTTCATTCATTTTGCAATGAAAAAATCAAGGAGGCGGTTAAAGACTATCTATGGCAAAGAGTAAAGATAAACAGAAAGCCTGTCAAGCGAGAGAGAGATTTACAAGGGAACAATGCAAATGATAACTGCTGATTGTGTTACTGCGATTCTTCCATAAGATAAATTGGAGTCTCCCGAAGGGCTCAGAAACCACTTTGATTGGTTCGCCGCGCTTGCTGATTCAAAATATTTCAAGCTACTGGTGGCTTTTGCCATCTTCTGCTTCTTCGCCAGAGTGTAGTACCCAACCTAGCCCAGGGAAGAATTCGGTGGCCAAGAAATTTTTCAGTTTCAGGAAAGCGCTTCCCCATTCCTCAAGTGAGAATGGCGCCAGTTATTCTGTGTCAATCAATGACTTTAAGTGTGTCCCTTCTTGCCGCAGGTGACAGTACCCTGTCATTCGATTACTTATCAACCAGGAGGCGATCAGAAAGAGGGTGGCAAAGGGTTTTTGCGTGACGCGTGATGGCCCCAAAATTTGCAGGATGACGCGTGATTGAACCTAAATTATCCGCGTGACGCGGGATAGGACGTCACAACTTGATGCGTGATTTTCCATTTTACAAGTGCGTGACTCGTGATTTACAAGACTTACTAATTAGATTTCCGTGATAGTAAACGCTCTTTGACCAAGAGGAAACCAATTATTCAATGTAAATAGAGTCTTAACAAAGATCAATAAACCGTTTTCTGGTCTTTTCCGTCCTTTGCTGACCTTCGCCTGACATTTGATGTCTTTGATCTTCCTGGTAGGTCCACACAATCGTAACACAATATGCATAAGTTAATGTAGCTAACATTTGCCAAAGGACTACGATCTTCAGTGTTCTTTTTGTCGACCGCCTGGTTGTCTAGTTTCAACAAGTAAATCATCTTTATTTGCCTAACAAAAAGCAACCTGACAAGTAAAACGCAGTTCATTCCGGGATAAAATCGTTGGATGCAATATAATTTTCAATAATACATCCGATAGGTTGAAATCTTACAGTGTTAGCTTAGTGTACTTACTTCTTTTTATGTGACGCGTGATTGGTTAAAAAAAATTGCCCGTGATGCGTGATTCGATAGAAAAATTCAGCGTGCTGTGATTGGAACCCCACCTTTGCCACCCTCCAGAAACCTTCCTTGAATTCACTTCCTTCCTCGCCAGAAATAATAAGATCGTAAAAACAGTAATACTATTGCCGAAGCCCTTGCAAAGAATGGCTCAAACATTTTTCCGCTTACCGCAACGCTTGATTAAACAAATGCATCATGGCCTGCTCTACATCTTTCTTTGACAAACTCTAACGCCTCTCTCGACACATATTTAGTGACGAAAAAGCTTTCTGTGTCTTTTTTTCCACCTTCCTCATTTCCATCTCGTTACAGCTGTAGTCAACTTACGCTAATTTCAAGGAAAGCATTCCGAGGGGGAGACACTTTTTCAATTTTCAAAGGGAATTTTTCATCTTGTGAATGGACAACCAGCCACCGTCTCAAGCCTCGTCACTTTAGCACACAAGAAAAGCCCTCAGCTACGCGAGATGGCCCTCTTCTGTTGTTTTTTCAGATGTGGAGTATTTATACTCCCCGTTGCCCATGCATAGTAAATAAGTTGTACCGCCTGTATAATATGCATCACATCTCTTACATTTAAATTTGTTTTCAAGGCGTTGTTGGTTCACTATGGAAGGCTTTTTTTTCGTAATTTGTGAACATTCTGAGGTGTAATTGTCTATGAGGACCGGTTACTATAGTCGGGTAAAACTTTCAAGCTGAGGGTATGAGGCTCCTTTCGTAGGAAGTCGGCAATTTTCTGGTCTTTGAGGGGTAAGGTGATTCCTACAGTGCTCTTCATCCAAGTGCTCAGGGGAGTGAAAGGAGGGGAGGAAGGGGGGAGAAAGGGCTCTCCATAAGCTTGGTACACACCTGGTCCTGGTACTATTAAGAAGCGTGAAATCTATTGAAAGTAATATCACTACATTCTTTTAGATATTTCAATTTTCTAGTACTTCATCTCAAAAGTGATCATTTATACCAATTGTTAACATCGCATAATATAATGTTCAACACTTTTTTGTATTGTAAAAGATAAATGAATTTGCAGCAACAGGATATTCAGAAAATCAGATGATAGGATCTCCGACTTATTTTGATTAGAGATTCATGGGATTGTTTAGGTGTGCGGGTGTCTCCTTAAAAGAGAATGGGATATTTGTACGCAAAAATTCTCCAGCCTTTAAACTGATAAAGCGGATGTTTTGTGGCATTTCAAAGCATGATGTTGTTATGGCAACCTATTGTCATGAAAATTATCACGATTTATTGAGCCGGAAATAATTGGCATGTTTACGTTGTATGGAAGAAACAATACAAACTATTTTGAAACATTTCCCAAAATTTCCTCACTCCTTACTCTGGACTTCGCCTCCTTCCTCCCTTTGCTCAATCTAAAAAGTTGTGTCACCAAGCTCATTTCTAAGGCTGTTAAAAACAAAAAGAAAGAATGTTTCTGGCAAATGATGTAAGCAGTAACCCTTGTTGACGAGAATTGTAATATTACATTTATGCTCTTGTCAAAGTCAACAGAGCGTTGAGAGCAAAGAATGTTATGAGCTGTCTGAAATTTTAAATTTCGAAGATATTTTCTTGCTTAGAATTATAGTACCAACCATTATCAACATTCTTGGATCCACAAAAAATCTGAATTGAATGGAAATATCACCCCTGATCTCTTCTTCTCTGTAAAGAATTCATTAGGGGTGGAGGTGGGAGGAGATGTGAATTCTGTGACAAAACACACACAGAACAGATGAGCTGAGGGTATTTTAGTCCATTTAAGAATATTGAACGTATCTGATAGTACTGTTCTTGGGATCAACTTTTATCAATGAAAGTGAAAGGTATTTACTCACACAAAATTAGAAAGAAACCAGACTTTAGTATCATGTTCAATGCACAGCTTTATTTTAGATTTCACTCTTAAAGGGGCTGATAAACACTCATTTATCAAAGATATCAATTTTGACTATCCCTAAATCTGAACCGTTTTCTTCGATTTTTGAGCAAATATTATCACTATACCGATGCATAAAGCAGCTAAGACTCTTGGTCATTACGCTTTTCGTCTTGTGTCCCTATTTCTACATCCACTTGTACAAAGCGCTGTTTATGTTGTTCTTCTGATTGTAGCGGTTTGCCACAGCCAGATAAGTATGACCTTTGTACTCAAATGATGTCATATCATAGGCTCCATGAGTGGAAATCTCTTGGTACTCGATGAACTTTGCTCCAGCGGCCTGGTACACAGCTGACTGTGTGTTGTATTTCTGGCTGCTGTCGTAATGATTGGCCACACCTAAGAAGGTATGGGAGCTGATCACGAAAGGATGGCAAGCGAGGGCTCCACGAGTAGGAATAGACTGGAAAAGAACGAACTTGGTACCATCCCATTTATAAATAAACGAGTCAGTGTTGTAGGAGCTTCCAGAGTAGTAGCAAGCAAAAGAGAGGAATGTGTGACCATTGAGATTAAAAGACTTCACGTCAAATGCCCCGTAAGTTTGAAGAGACTGTAGTTTGACAAAGTGTCCTCCTGACCATTTGAAGACAGTGGACTGAACAGAATACTTCTGTTGAGAGTTGTAATGGTTGGCGAAAGCGATGTAAGTGACATTGTTTATTTCAAATGCCGTACATCCCATGGCACCTTCAGTTGCTATCTCCTGGAACTTGTTGAACTTGAGGCCATTCCATTTGTAGATGACTGATTTTATTGAGCGGGTACTTCCATCGTAATAGTTTGCCACTGTGAGATATTTTTCGCTATTTAAAGTGAAGAACTTGAAGTATGCAGCTCCTTTTGTTGGTAATTTCTGAAATACAACAAATCGCTGTCCATTCCACTGGAATACTACAGAGTCAAGTTGGTATGTACCATCCCAATGACAAGCCACAGCTAGGAAATGTTTATCAGCGATAGAAAAGTACTCAACGCCATATGCACCTCTAGTTTGCAGAGTCTGGTAAAGTGTGAATTTTTCAGTCGGTTCATCCATCTTGTAAACCACGGAGCTTGTTTTGTGTTTCTGAATATCTCCTTTATAGTTGCCAAAGGTGAGGAACAGACTTCCATTAATGGTGAAATGCTGAACAGCTGTAGCTCCCCTGGTTGGCAAGTCTTGAACTTTCTCGAAGAAGTGGAAACCAGTGGAACATTCTTTGATAAAAATAAAACAGAGTTGACAGAGGTTACCTCTCATCCTTTGTTTCTGGTTATTAGCCTATTAAAGGTGGTTCAAAAGAGTTTCGTTATTTTTAATCACCGTATTTTAACGTACCGAAGCTTTAACAGTTTGCTCTTTTCGAAATTTCCATACGACATGCGAAACTGTTATTCAACAATTCTTTCTATAAAATATAATGTTACCAAAGCAACACTCCATCCTCTCAAACAACGTCCTTTTTTTCACTTTATTTTCCTGTAACTCGAAAACAAACCCTACTTCTCAATCACTGTATTGCAATCAGCATATAAAAATATGTAAGTTATATGGACAATGGAACAACTTGACTCAACTGGTTTCTTTTTATTTGTTTTGTTCTTTTGTTTTTTGCTTAACTTAGGAACTTCATAAGTTCATTTCTGCGAATGGAGGGAATGGTCAATCTTAACATAACTGACACACAACGGGCGTCTAATTTGTCAAAAAATCTATCCTCTATTGTACTCCATAAAACTGGAGCATCAAACAAGATTTTCTCTCAGAAGTTTGATGAAAATCTTACATTGGAACGAAAACCACATACAAAGTATATGTCCAGTCGAGACTTATGGCAATTTTATTTCTTGTCCGTGATTTCAGCTTTCATTTGATTGTTCTTACGTTTTGGAAGGCGTTTTTGGCACTTTTTGTTAATTATAACAAGAATTCCCTGAAAGCTTAAATTTAAGCAGAGGCAATATAAAAAAAATGGATTAAACAAAACTAGTGTCCTACGAATAAAAAAAAATAGCTCGTGTCTGATGTATACAGCTCGATGTTGCCGTCTTTGATTTTGCTGCTATTGTTGTAGTGCTATTTTATAAAAGAAATTAAATCTAAGTCCTCTCAATGGTGAGAAATTTTTTCATCATAAAATTTTACTCGATAGTTTCCACGATGTGCAGATAAAACTTATTTAGATATTTTTGCAAGGAAATGCCTTGTTTTTAATAACGTGCCGGTAACGCTACTGTGAATTATCTTGAGGTGTTTATCATCTTTTGTAGCGTGACGGCAAGAACTGAAACAAAGATATATTCCGATCTATTGGGCATAATTCGCTGATTCAAACGGTAAGGTACTCCCCGTTTAAAGAAAAAAGTTTTCCTGTAGGTTTTCATGTTGCGCCGATCACCTTATGTGATATAGGAAAAACTTTGGTTTTTTTACGCGCCATCGTGAAATTATTGTAAGATGTTTCTCGTCTTCTTTAATACTTCAGAACAAAGAATGAGTAGCCCAGTTAACATCGAGTAAAAACTGGATCAAGATCGGAATTCTATTGTAACCATCACTCACTCACTCATTTTGACGACATAAGTAGCCTCGCCTCCTGTAGGAGACATAAGCCAAAAAAACAAGTAAAAAAATGACTCCTACCGACTTTACAACACCCTCTTTTCCCAGAGGAGGACGAGGAGCTCTGCAAAGAATCATTAGAAATCTCGTTATCATTATCGTTTTGTGCTTGTGCATGTCAAAGAACTTCACACAATAACTGCCAAAAAATAATAATAAAAAAAAAGTAGCAAATTACTTGTTGTAATATTTCATTGCTTTAGAAGTACACAAGGACTGTTGCACTTTTAAGTGATGATTTCTATCCATTATATCTTTCCGTACCAGGTCATCACATGTTCCCGGCATTCCTTTCTGTCCTTTTAGTCCTAGTGATCCTTTCTGTCCAACAGATCCTTTCTCGCCCTCGATGAAAAAGCAAACTTATAAAAAAAGGTTGTATAGCACGAACTTTTTCGCTATCCATCATGAAATAACTTTGAGAAGTTACTGGTTTTCAAGTTTATCTTTAAGCTGTGTTCGACGAAAGAATTTTTCATACAAACCTCATGAAACTTTCTTTAGAAGACCCCCCCCCCCCAACTTAATAATGACCAATCCCTACCATGTCCTACCAGGGGTTCCTTGTCCTACTATTATCACATTTGTCTGTCAGTTTTTAGTTGAACCGAATGATTCATAGAACTAACTTCGGAACTACAATGACCATTCTTTCCCTTTATTCCTGGCTCACCCCCATCCCCCTGAAGAAATCAAAATTTAACGTATGAGCGCAACATACCTCATTGTATTCATTGACAGTCAGATAATTCTCCAATAGGGTAAAATAAGAAGCAAGAGAACTCTAACAGTTCGGAATAATGAAATGTTCTCCTTTCCCAAAACCTAATTCTATAACTGCATCTTTTAAGGCTGGGATACCTGCAGTAATTACGATTTAAATATTCCAACCAAATAATTGGTAACAGTTTAAGTGTCAATCAGATCAAAGCCAAAGAAAAATTAGCCAGAAAACCACTTAATTTTTTACCAACCTTGATGCCAGCATTTCCATTCACACCATGCATGCCTGGTTCACCTTTCTCTCCCTGGATGAGTTAAAAGGAATGGAAGTAATCTATCGGTAACCATGACAACAGTTTAATTGATGTACTCATAAGTTCACCACTAACAAGAAGAGATACGTCATATACAGTTCAATGCATTTGTATTCTCAAGTCCGTTTCAATGTCATTTTTTTGACGATGGTTACATTATCGTTTTAAAAATACATAACCTTTGCTCTAACTGTTCCATCGCGTCCATCTCGTCCTATGTTGAAAATGTTGGCGATCAGTACAAATTGTGAAACACGGATAAACGAAAACAGCAACAAAAGTACAAAGTCACGGTACACCTTCGTTTCCCAAAAAATGTATTATTCATAGTAATTTTCAGTCATTCAAACTCGTTGTGATGTTAACTTGACACAAGTAATCATCATATTACTAGGTTTTCGTTTTTCTCTCTCCCCAAATTCCCATAAAGGACCAATCAGCAGGTCAGCCCGAGGATTTTGGTAGCGTCTCGCAAAAATTTACCTAGTCCTCCCCAGAGGCTCTGTAATATTCTTATGATTCCCCACCCCTACCCCCTCTTGGCAGTTAATTGACAGTCATTTTGCCTTTGTCCCCCCTTGATATTCAGTTGTCGACGACTGATCCCCCATCAGTACCCCCTTAAAAACATGTGATCTTCCTAAAGTCCTCCACCAACCCTCTCCCCCCCTCCACAGCAAATCCTTAATAAGCCGTCCCTACCACTTGTGTTTATGAAGGAATTCACGTTAAAAAATTTTCCATCTAAATCAAAAATTCACTTTGAATAAATAACTACATCACCGTTTATTCCATCGCGTCCATCTTTTCCTGCATAGAAAGAAATCAATTTCCTTGTGTTAGAAAGGTAAGTAAACAGTTTATTTTTATGATGAAAAGTTGTTCGTTGTTTAAGTCAATAACTTGATGAATGAACCATAAAGTAACTTTTGTACACTCACCGTTTTGTCCATCTTTTCCGTCTTTTCCTGTCCAGAAATTAACAGAAACCAAACATCAATGAAGAAACTCGAATTTCTTTCTTTCTCGCCCATATGAGCAGATGTAAATAGATATATGCGTGTTACAAGTATTATTATTATTATTATTATTCTAAGGTAATTATAAATGTGCTGAACAAGGTGGGATTTTTGTTTGAAGTTTTACCCACCATCTTTACAGTATCTAACGTGTGAAACGCAGCAGTTTGATTTTGTCGCTGTTCCATGACTCTGTTGAAGGTTTGAAAGTAAAAAACGAGCAGTGTACACATAAATTATGAAATCAAGGGGTTGTTTGGGAAATCACAAGCACGAACAAATCACAAACTTTCTCACTTTCACTCGAATTCTGGTTACCTGATTTGCAGATTTGTTCTGTGATTTTGCGAAGGAACTCAACAAAAAGGCAAGAGCCAACACAAAGAATAAGCGAAACATTTTCACTCTCAGTGCCCTCCGATATGAAATGGTAGACGAATCTGTCAGCATAAAAGGAACAACTTTCCAACTCTGTTTATTTTGTCCCACAACAGGAAAATTCAGGATGTTTAAGGGCTTGTGTTATGAATAGTGTTTACAATGCACAATGAGAATTTGTAGTTTATGGATTATGATATGCTAACTGACCGACTACGATGAACTTCTTATATCTCCTTAAAACATCGTTATCTTGTACAGTGATCTGGTATGGAGAATTTAGGCCCTTATCAGTGAAGATTAGTTGTTTGGTCTTTATGTAAATTCTCACTAATTACTGTAGTAAAAAAAAAGGTTTTGATCTGTGAAAGGAAAGGTGTCCATAGCAAGAACTCAGCTCGCTTGACATCATTTTGAGGAATTTTTCAAATATGTGATGGTTGATATGAATACTGTGAGTTGAAAGAAAATTCTCGTTTGCTTTTACTAAGTAGGAAACACGCAAATTCATTCAATATAAAATACGGTTGAATAAAAATGAAATAGAATTAAGATAGTAAATTGCCGTGGATGTAGGATATAAGTGTGCACCTTTTTGTTAAAACCATTCTCGTGGAGCTTAATGGGATTGTAACGACGCCATTTACCGTAAGCGAGTTTGAAAGGAAAAAAATCGGTTGACTGCAACCGTAGATCAGAACACTGTACCGCAATTATTCAAAAGCGACTGACGAGACTTAGTTCACCCAATTATCATTTTAACTAGCAAAATATTATCAGTGGCATAATTCCAAAGTTTCCTTTGAATAAGATAATTTTTCCTAATAGTGCATCCCTTGAATCTTTCGGTTCTAGAATCAAGCAGTATTTATGGGCCAACCCTTTTTTTAAAGGCTTTTCTTTATTTCTTGGCTCCTTAGCCTGGTTTATTGAAAAGATGACGTGTAACTCAACATGAAGTAACCTTGTTGATATTGAATGCTATATGCGTATTATCCTGTGTTTAAAATATGTTTATCCTGCGAATAAAAATATTAAAGGGAGGGATGTACGAGATAGTTTTGCTACGATAAAATGACCCTGCTTACCAGAGTAACCAGGTGTAATGAAAATAGCAATTATTTTGAAAATATAATATTCTCCTTTTTTTACGAGGCAGAAGACATAACTCTAAGAACAACATAAAAGAGCAGGGGGTCATTAAGGAAAAATTATGACTTATCGCTGAAAGGGTTGCTTCTTAATAAAGTTGACAAGTGAAAGTAATCACCTTGGTCCGTTGGAAATTTGATCAAGTTGAGCAAACGGATCACACACATTGTTCTATTACGTACCCCGCTGTGTTTATCCTGTGTAGCGCTATGCTGACGTGTCCAGATGATTAGAAATAGAAATTGCTTATTTTTTGTTATTTGTCCGTTTACTCGGTTCAATAAAACCGTCCAAATTGTATTGTCAGAGAATAGGCTTATGAGTTTTAGAGCTGAGATTATGATTTATTGCAACAAATAAAATTAATTAACAAGGTTACTGAAGGCAGAAGAGAATGGTCAAAGTCGTTTGCTTACGCCAGCTATCCACTGTCACAAAACAAAAAATATTGGGAATAATTAAGTTTAGTGATATCTGAAAAGGATATGTTTGTTCTAGGTCTAAGTATCTAAATGACATAAATTTGAGTTCTCAAGCCCATAATTAGTAATAGTGCTATATTTTCATTTTGTTCTGGACCAAAAGGGCTCCTCGCCACACTTCACCGAGTTTCCATACAACATACAAGTTGTTTAACTAGGGATTACTCGACAAGATTGTTAAGACTCTGAAGAAAAAATAAGAAGAAAAACGGAAAAAGCACTGGTATCATATAACAGCCTTTGCTTCATCTCAAGAACCATGCTCTTCATTCAACATGTAATGAAAACGCTGAATATATCAGGATTAGAGAATAACGAAAACAACCGTGTTCTGTGGCAAATACAGTGTAGTTCCATGATTTACGTAAGTTGTATAGAAAATGATATTGAGGTCAACTTTACTTCCATGATAGCCTTTTTTTTTACTCTGACTCTTGATGAAGCTATATCTTCACTTTCTTATGTTTAAAAATTCTTAGACTGGAAATCGGCATTTCATGTAATCGGTTAAGTTTCACATTAGTGGACGAATCGAAGAGGAAGGACCTCAAAAATACGATGCCAATTTGTTTAATTTTTCGAGAGTTCGATTAAAATTCTAAGAATTTGGTTTCGCAATCGATAGGCGTACTTATTCATGAAAGTGATATGTAGAAATAAACAACTTGTTCCCGTGTCGCGCTATGCTGACGTGTCCATATGATCATCATAAAAAAATTGCTTATTGTATACCAATTGTTCATTCACTCGGTTTAATAAAACTGTTCTTCAGGATCATGACAGAATCGATCTTTTCGCTAGGTTCTAACGAAAGTGAGGACATATTGCAAAATTTTCAAATAATTGCCCACTTTGGTCGAATAACCATTCCCTTGTTAACTGCCCGGTATTTTTTTACCCATCAACCGCTTCAACACTGTGGCAATTTTTAAGTAAGTTTTCAAATATCTACAGTCAAGAAACCTATTTTGTTATCATTTTAAGAGATGCACTTCTCTGATCTTAAGTGTGGTAGTCTATTTTATGAGTAAACTAGTCTGTGATCAGGCTAATACACTGTGATCAAACACAATTGCGAACATGAAATCAACATGCAAATTTGGTTTTTGCAGAAAATACTTTTTTTTTTTAATTTTTCTTTTATAATTTTGTCACAGAAAATATGTTCTATCTGATTTCACTATATCCTCAATTGCAGGCCTTTTTTTTGGTGAGTGTGACCTTTGTTGCTAAGAATAGTGGTGGGGTGAAAAAGAAGCCAATGATAATCTTAGAAGAGTTTTTTTTCCGTTTTAGTTTCAACAAGCAGCGCCAGCGACTGGCAGGCATGCAAGGATTCACACTGAAATAACAGAACAACCTTCGTTTTGCATAAAATTGTAATTTACAATCCTTGAACTTGAAAACAATCCGAAGATTCTTTGAAAATATCATTTACTGCGAAGCGTTCGGAGTTTACAGATGTTCAAAAGCTTTTTCTGTTATTGGCGTGAGATTGAGGACAAAATCGATCATTACGTTTCGTATCGTGAGTTTTTCCTGTGTGAAGCAACAAAAGATGCCGACGACTGACGAAATTACAAGTAAACACGAAAATCAAATAACACCTAAACAAACAATTTTAGCTACCGATTTTCAGTGAATTTTTAAAGAACACTTTTCTTTTAAGTTTCAAGACAATTTGAAGGTTCAAAATACATATTACGTACTAAAATGCGAAAGTTATACACCACAAAATTGATAAATAGGCCTGAAATGAAATTCTATTTTGTTATTGATTATACGTTGCCTAGCACGTGACAAAAGTCTACCCAGGTGGAGATCCAAAATGACGGTAGCAGTCTTGACTCAGTTATATCACTCAAAACTCGTTCCCGTTTGTCTCATTTGATAAAGAGGGAATCGTTAATGTTTTTATTAAGACAGTATTGCCTTGATTTTCTAATATTTACAATGATAGACAGTAAATTTCACTTTTCACCCACATTTACTTCCAACCTTTTCTTTTGAACCAGAAACAAAAATTATATACGTTTAAAACACATGACATCATCCACCCTTGTCAAATGTAATCGCATGATCATTTCAATTGTAATGCCTTCTTATCCCAACGTTACATTATTTCTTTGCTACATTAGCGAACACTGAACTACTGCTCGTACTCTAGATATGGCAATCATCCACAAAATTCCCTAAACCAGATAACATTAAACATTATCCAAAAAATTATGTGTCAATTCACGAGTTTGCTCACAGAGCACTTTGATTAGATAAGTTGGCAAAAATCCATAGTTAAGAAACCCATTTTGTTATCATTTTAAGAGATGCGCTTCTCTGATCTAAAGTGTGGTAATCTATTTTGAGAGTAAACTAGTCTGTGATCAGGCTAATACACTGTGATCAAACACGATTGTGAACAAGAAATCAACATTCAAATTTGCTTTTTGCAGAGAAAATACCTTTTTTATTATTTTTTCTTTTATAATTTCGTCACAAAAAAGATATTTTAGCTGATTTCTCTGTACCCTCAAGTGCAGGCCTTCATTTTGGTGAGTGAGAGCTCATTTTCTCTTCCTGAAAAATTTGACCATCGCTTATAATTATTAGACAGAGGAAGGTTACACAATCGTGACGACTTTAACTTCTTCGAGGGGACTGAGCTAATTTGAGTCTCGGGAAACATCAGGACTCTCGGGAAAACAAAACTGTTTCCAAATTTCTATAAAAACGCAAAGTAAATAACTTGTCGAGCCGTGTCAAGCTTATATTTCTTGCTGTACAGTAACAGTGAAAGAACTTAAGAACTCTCGAATAAATTTACCCAAACTAATTGCCGAGAAGGAATAGTTGCAATGTTTTAGCTTCAAGAAAATGACAAACAGGATCATCATTAAGAAGGTTATTGATTATTTCATTTACCTGAGGACGAAAACCACTTAAAAAGTTTGTAAATCACTTGCCTCTAGCTCGTGGTATTCAACCTTTTCTTGTGTTCTCCATAAAAATTGTAAAAGTTGATACCAACATTCTGTATGCACTTAGGACGACGATCTTGAATTAAAAAGGGCGTTTTACTATGTGCACAAAACCAGTGATTATATATTCTTTCCAACTTTTCAACATCCTCTTTTCCTGGAAGGAATCATTTAAAACTCTGATATTGTTATTGCGTCATGCCTGGGTATGTCAAAGACTACAAGACAATGATTCCAAAAGAAAACAAACCAGTACTCGTTATTAGATGACAGTACTCGACACAGGGACCGTTACACCTTTAAGTGATGATTTTCTACCTGTTGAATAATTATCCATCTTAACTAATGTCGCAGTTTTTGTCTGGTTCTAAATTCACTGAGTGATAGAACTTACTTTGGAACCAGAACTATCATCCTTTCCCTTTTGTCCTGATTCACCCTTCTCTCCCTGAAAAGATCATAATTTGATGTATGAGTAACACTTTTCATTGAAAGTGTCAAAATCAGATAAATCTCCATTACGGGAAAAATAAGAAGCAAGGAAACTCTTACAGTTCGGAATGATGAAATGTTCCCCTTTGCAATTTTATCACGATTTAATTATTCCAACCAAATGATTGGTAACAGGTAAAGTATCATTCAGATCAAAGCCAGAGAAATATTAACCCTTAAAATCAGTTTTTTTTTGCCCTTAAAGAAAAAAGATTATCACACACTTAGGTTAGATCTTTTTAAAATGAACTCTACCAACCTTGACGCCAGCATTTCCGTCCACGCCATGCTTACCTGGTTCACCTTTCTCTTCCTGGATAATCATGATTTTTTATGAAATGAATTGAAGTAACTTCTCAGTAACCATGACAACAATTTCAAGGAAGTACTTATGAGTGCACGACTAGTATGAAGAGGTACGTCATTAGAAGTTCTACCCATATATATTCCTAGAATATGGATTCAGTGTCATTTCTTCAATGATCAGAATGTCACCTTTTTGGTTTAAAAAAATAATCTCTGCTCCAACTGTCCCATCGCGTCCATTTCATTCTATATTGAAAACATTGGAGATCAGTTCAAAATGTGAAAATGCAGAAAAACACCAACAGCAACAAGTGATTTTTTAATTTCAATTTTGTTAATATTTCACATTTCACATATGCCTTCGTTTCCAAAAAGATTTCATTATTCCACAAAAGTTTCAGTTATTCACACCCAGTAATTTGATATTGTCGCTGTTCCATGGCTCTGTTGAGTTTTTTTCGTGACAAACGAAAAGTGGACATTTTCAGTTCAAGTTTGTTTGTTATCAAATTTAGGGGTTATTTAGAAAATCACACGCTAGACAAAACGCAAAATTCTCATGCTTTCACTCAAATTTCGATGCGAATACAATCTCTTTAAAACAGGTTATTAATTTGATTACCTGGCTAGTAGATTTGTTCTGTGATTTTGCGAAGGAACTCAAGGCAAGAGCTAACACAAAGAATAAACGAAACATTCCCACTCTGCGCTCTCCGATATGAAATGGCAGACGAATAAGTCAACATAAAGAGAGGGACTTTCCTGCTCTGTTTATTTTGCCTCATAACCGGAAAATTCAGGATGTTCAAAAGCTTTTGTCATCACTGACGTTTGCAATGCTTAATAAGAATTTGTAGCTTATGGATTGTAATATGCTAACTGAACGACTGAATTAACTTCTTGTATCTGCTTAAAACATCGTTATATTGTACAGTAATCTGATGAATAGGACTTTGACCCCTATCAGTGAAGATGATTTGTTTGGTCTTCAGTAAATTTTTAATTATTGTAGTCGAAAAAAGTAATATTTTGATCTGTGAAAGGAAAGTGTCCGTAGAGAGAATTTTCCTTGCTTTACATTATTTTGCGAAATTCTCACAAATGGGATAGTTGATATAAAAAGAAAATTGTCGTTTGCTAATATTGAATATCCTGAGTTGACTGAGAAAGACAGGAATTTTTGGAAAACTGAAAAGGTTTTACTTGAAATTGTGGTTGCTTAATTAGTAAATGTACCGAGTAAGCAGAGGGCGGACGCAGCGCACACTTCGCAAGCGCTTTGGATGCAATCGAGGCTCAGCTCCAGAACGAGGTATACCGAGTTACATGTGTTCGCGGAAGGTGTGAGCTGAAAATCCTCCTCAATGCAGGTAGGGGAGTGTTGGATTGATACAGAAATCGACGTAGTGTTGTACAAAACATTTAAACTTAATAGTGTGGGCTCTTCCCATGAGTGAGGCCAGGCTCATCGAGATATGTTAAATCTGTGGGCAGCGCGCGATTCCAAAGCATTATTGATTAGTCTTGATTTAAACGAACGCACGTAACGGATCACTCAAGGTTTCTTGTAAACCAGACGTAACCTTGAGAGGCCTTGTGCATTGAAGTAGCGGTTTCAAATTGTGTCAATAAACCAAGATACTCCATTTACTGGCGATACTGTTAAGGAGATCAACACTGAACGCATCGATAGCTGATATACATCTGGCATATGTGTGTTAAGGCTGTCATCTCCTCGAGCTAAACCACACATGCTGCACAAACTAGTCTTTTTTTTCAACCAACCAACAAAGATACTGGAAGAAACACATGAATAAATATACATGAACAAAGTGCACACAAAGGGCGAACAGAGACCGAGAGTCAATTTCGAAGCTTGCTTGGCAACTTATTTCAGTATTAAGATGTCAGTTTCTAATTTTCAGCAAATGAAATGCTTTAAAAGTAAGACAGTAATGCCCTGTTTTATTGGCATCTTTTTTGTCTGCAAAACTATTGAGGAATCCTGATCGCAGTGAAAACAAACATAAGCTTGCTTGGCAACTCATTTCAGTATTAAGATGTCAATTTTCAATTTCCAATTTTCAGCAAATGAAATGCTTTAAAAGTAAGACAGTAATGCCCTGTTTTATTGGCCACCTTTTTATGTCTGTAAAACAATTGGGGAATCCTGATTGCAGTGAAAACAAACATAATTCTTGACCCTGAGCCCCTATGTCTGTGTTCTGGTACTTTAAACCTGATAATTCTTGTATTTCTGCAGAAGCGCATCAAGTTACCAGTGACTGCACTGAATGAGCACATCATCTGCAAATTATGCAATGGATATCTCATTGATGCAGCAACTATCACAGAATGTTTGCACACTTGTAAGTAGATTGTACTAGTCTGATATATATATATATATATATATATATATATATATATATATATATATATATATATATATATATATATATATATATATATTATATATATATATATATATATATATATATATATATATATACATATACATATATATATATATATATATATATATATATATATATATTATGACTGTATACCTTTATGTAATCTTACCAATGTATAACTATTAAGTATATTAATTTTGTAATCTTAGTGAGGTCCAAAGATATGAAAATTAACTCCTTTTCTAGCTTCCACTGTAGAAATTTCCTCATAACTTGATTTGGAGAATTAATTTCACATTTAGATGCAAATCATTCTTCTCAAGTTTCTCTATCCTCATCAGATTTTTCTTAATATGATGTATTGATATTGTTAGGAGAAGTTAGTAAGTAATTTCTCCAAGGAGTTGAAAGGTGAATTTACCATCAGCATTTGGCAAAGCTTTTTTTAAAGCCACAGCGTACTGTGGCTTTACGCTATATTGTGTTTTTAAAAACTTGTGAGGATGAGAAATTATTTTCATTACGTTTACATGATCTTGGTGCTAAAGGTTCAATATAAGCAGGATTTGGGAGTCTTGATGCATAAGCAGTGGAAGCATATCAGTAAAGTAAAGGATTGTTCACTTTAGTTTAAAATCCTGGCAACCAAATTTGCCAGCTTTGGCTTCTATGCCCTGAAAAAATTGGACTTCTCTCATCAATGAAAGTTTTTTTTTTTCCATAAAATTTAGTTTGCAAGAGCTGCTTGGTAAGACATATTGAACTTGTGAATCGATGTCCAACATGTAACAATCAAATTCATGAATCACAGCCACTCTACAACATCAGGTACAACCAGATAATCTTTGATATGCTGATATAGTTAAATTTCAAACAAAATGCGAAAAAGCATTTTATATGAAAGTCATATAAAGGATTAACAGATTATTAACTCACTCAGTAGTGTCACTTTGAAAAAAAGATTTTTTTTTTCTTAAATTGTCAGAGTATGCTTAGTGTACTTCAGAATCCATACAATATATGTGTGTAATATCATAAGTATGTTGTGTGTGATGTGGTCATCTTCTATGACCTGATATACAACACATGTAAAACCTACATTAGTCTTTCATGTATACCAAACAAGGATTATAAAGAAAAAAGGAAAGCTGACCTCTTAAACTTTTTAGTTGTTCAGGGAGCTGGTTTCCTGTATGCATTTAATTTGAATTGTTGTAAATATTTTAAAATATTTTATGGATGCAACAAAGTGTGTTTTTGTTGTCAGTTATTAAGGTTATTGACTATTTACTTGAGGATTTTGATTCACCCAACATTTCCTTCATCTGTAAAGTTTTATGTTTAGCTGTTAGTTATAATTTGGGTGTTGATAAAATTAAGCCAAGGGATAATAAATATTTTTCTCCAATGATAGGCTTGACAGAACCATGCAAGACATTGTTTACAAACTTCTTCCAAAAGTAGAGAAGGGTGCGTATACAAAATTGCACAATTAGATGTAACTATTGTAATATTCTATGGATTTTTTAATATCCTCTAAGTTGTTGAGTGCAATTTTTGTTACAGAGGAAAAACGCAGAGAGCGAAAGTTTTACAAAGACAGAGGAATGCCTTATCCAGACCCTAAAGGTAAAGAATTGTGCTTTTAATCAAACGAATAATGATACATGTACATGCACATAAACTTTTTAATGCTCATGTTCCATCATTTGTTGTCCCAGATATTTTTTTTGCAACATTAAGTGCTCTTTACCTGTAACAAAATCTTTTAAGAGAATCTCTAGTAACTTCATATACCTGGTGATTATTTAAGAAAGAGGTCAGCCTGGAAACAGTAATGAGGTGGGCTCAAACATGAAGTAACATGTATAGGAGATTGTCTCTCTTGTTATTGTGTTGTTTTAGTTCTAGGTAGCCAAACACCTACAAGTGCAGGCTCAAGGCCATTAAAAGCAACAAAGAAAGATAAGGGAGCAGCATCTAAAACAAGTAAAACTACAAAAGTCAAAAGTTATCACAGAACAGATGAGCAAATCTCCCTTCAACTTGAGACATACCGGTCAGTTGAATTGAAGGCAGTTAATTTCTTTGATAAAAGAAAAAATATTTCATTCTTTTGTTTACTGAAGAGGCTTGACAAAGGGAAGGGAAAGATGAAAAGGTTCTGTGAATGCTCTGCCAAGCCTGTCCCTATCTTCTCAAACCTATCTCCACCACTAAACCAAAACTAAACAATTTTAATAGTGATGCTACACTAGTAATTACTGAGAGTTACAAGAAAGTGGAGTGCTGCCAAGTGGTTAATTTGGAATGAGGGAAGTGGGCTGAGTTAAATACTTAAAGGTGTAGTTGAGGGAGTGTGTAGAAGTGAACATCTTTTTGCTGTATTGCTAACATCATTTATATTACTGACAGTCTTCAAAAATTGTATTCTTACCTGAAATTATAATTTTAAAGTGCCACTTACCTCCCAAATTATTTTTCAATAATATAAATTTCCTTGTTTCTGTAGCTCACAGTATATTGAGGTAGGATATCAGAATTCTGAACACTGTGTCAAACACACAGGTCATGACGAGGAAGAATATTTACTGTCGACCAAGGGATTTTTGTTGGATATTTAAAACACCAAAGCAATGTTTACTGGTTGGCTGACATAGAATTAATTATGTTAATATCATTACTTAGGAGGGTTAGCTTTTATTTGAATGCTAATATGACATGTAACTTGTGTTAGGGATGGAAGCATGTGTAGCTCAACAGAAATAGAGGTGAGAATACTTTGAATGATTGATTCATTTCATCTACAGCACAAATGCATAACGTTATTTCTCTCCTTTCCTTTTCTATGCCTAGCTTCCTCTTCTTAGTTTGAATCTGAAAATGAATATTTATAGAGTATACAGTTGTATTTACTTTTTCTACTTGTTTATCATGTTTGATAATTGCTGGTACTCATACTCTCTACTTTTTAGCCTCTACCAAAGAAATTTATCAGGTTGTCAACACACGTCACCATTGGATTGCTTCAGAAGTTCTTGGCTTGGAAACTACACTTGGACTCTGAAAACATGGTGAAAAGAGTTCTGTATTAAGACATCAGAATTTTATTTGTTGCTAAACTGCTGGTATTTACTACTAGTACAGATAACAATAAAAACAAAACAGACTATTATTTTACTTGTAGTTGAAATGGTACCATGTATTTCTGACAGGAATCAATGCAACTTTGTAATTTTGTCCTTTCAGGTAGGCATCCTCTATGATAAAACAGAAATGGGAAGAGATCTTACACTGAAGTACATCAATGATAATCTCTGTCCTCCAAAGGTAATTGCAGGTCTGATTTTCTAATATCACCTAAATAACATAGCGGGTCAAACAGCCATGCATAGGTACATGTACCTGATGATACCATCCACTTTACTGCAGTAATAAAGAGGGCCTGCTAAGGTACTTATAAGGCATTACCCCTTAGTACCCATTCTTTTTCTGTCTTGGTTGTTGTGGAACTAAAATGTTACATGTCATGTCCTTATATTTGCTAATCCTGCTACTAGTTCTTAAGTTTCTAATAGAATTTTCCTGTTTTAGGAACACTCTGCACCCTTGATTCTACATTACAGAGCTATGGATGTAAGCTTTACAAGATGACCGGTGTTGTATGGTCAACTCAAAATTGATTGTTGTCTAATGTTTTAGTAACGTTTTAGTAATACATGTTTTGTAAAGCTTAATAACACTCCAGAGGAGTGACGATGTTCATACTTCATGAAGTTTGAAAAAGTTTAAAAAGTCCAACGTGCTAGCGTTTTATAATAGCTTATGTTTCGCCATATCGATTACGGTTCAGTGTATTTAGTATTTATTCGTGATGAGTTCAGTCAACTTCATAGAAAAACAAATGAGGAAGAAACTCAGTAGGACTATTGTAGTTGCATTTATATTGAATTTATGGAAAAACTCTTATTAAAAGAAAATTTGTCTTTTATCTTTCGCTTAAGGTTGGGCGACAGTACAACGGCAATAATCGCCGTGTTTAATATGAAAAATATTATAAGGAAACAAGTCATTTAAATGATTCCCATTTGTCCTCTCGCTTCCCCCGACTCCGCATTGGTGATGTAACCTAATTGAGTTTTGTGTTTTGTTGATTGTGGTTTAATTGAACCATCCTGAAGGTTACGGTATCCTTTTCATTGTTGAAGTCGCTCTGTCTACTGTCGAAACGTCAGCTTTAAAAACTCTTACAGTGGCCAATTCACAATCACATGTCAACTCAACTGATTAAACCAAATTATCCTATGAGCTACACGTAGAATAATCTTCTTAAACGTAAAAAAACAAAAGATAGATTAGCCAAGAGCACAGGAAGCGACCGAACAAGCCCCCTGACCCATCCCTCTCAGCTAGTTTCCTCTCTCATTTCTGTGATTTCTCTTGGCGCTTAACGAGAGTTCGCCCAGTTTTCTTCATATGATCCTCAAGCAATAACCGAAATAGAAGGCTCCGGAATTTCTTATCTCTCTCAATACCTCAGGAGATGCCGAGTTTTGTCTCTACCATAAACTGAGTACAGGTGTACCATACAGGTTGTGCTTGGGTGCTGGCCATGATCTATCAGAGTACAATCGCACGACTTGTGTCATACAAAACACGTTGAATTGGCTTTCTCCAACGAGCCAAATCAACAAATATAATACACTTATCCGTGGATTTGTTTACTCATGAATCGCAGACAAAGTTGAATTGGGATGAAAACATCTTCAATTCACTTGCCCTGTAATTCGTTCCAGGCGCTCTCGCTCAATGAAGACGGGCAGAGCGCGAGCAATGCTTGGCAGTTGAAAATTGAGGAGTAGGGGTAGTCTTTACTTGAGTTATGAGCTAGTTTTTGTAAGCACATTAATTCATAACTGAAAAGATTCTGGGTAAAATAAAATTGAATCTAGCCACCATTGGACTCTTCCACACCCTATTAAGATGAGGCAGAAGATCTCAGCTGAAATTTTCGAAGTTTCTAGATTTTTTGAGTTCATCATTCAACAACTAGATCTTTCCCAATTTCATCCATTAATATTCCTTCCTGGTGTATTGTTACCTCTGTTTTTTTCTTCTCTCACTGAACCATTCAGGATATCGTTTTAATATCTTTAGCAAACTTTGACAAGAGGCAGACAATTGAACAATTGACAGGTTGAAATACAAAAGCATTTAATGACACACTTTTTCACAAAGTGAATACTTGTAACATTTGATAGATAATTCCCGCGGTTTTCTCGAACGCCAATGCGTACAAGTAATAGATAACTGGTTGCTCCTCATAATTTATTGTGTTTCTACAATCGTTATACTTAAAGAAAAGAAAATATCTCTCCACTAAGAGAGAGGATAGTTTCTCTCCTTAAACATTCAAACGCAGATTCAACATGCGAAACACCTAACTGTCAAATCAGACTCCGTTCTGTCCGCTAACGTTACCACTTCATTGAAAGACACTTCTCAAACAAGTCTATGATTTACACACGCCGCTTATCTGACTGACGCTCTTAACTTGTTAAAAAATATATTTCCAAACAACGAAGTACTTTCCAAAACACTTCACGACACGCCTATTAACAGCTTAAAACACTCGCTTATGAACACAAGCATAAAAATCTGAACAAAACAAACCGATACATCGGTGAAAGCTAGCACTGACTACTATAAGAGAAGATACGTAGGCCCCATATCGACACTTCACACCTATATACCTCGTAACACCTCTAACTTAATTCTCGAGCAAAATAAGACGCGGTAACAACATCAATGACACACTCGGCTGCACCTCGTGTGCCATTTCTTTTGTTCTTAAGGTAATTTAGTGTTGTAAACCGAGTTCAAAACGTAAATTGGCCACCGTAAAGAGTTTAAAAGCTGACGTTTCGAGTACTAGCCCTCCGTCAGAGCGATTGCCGAGGGGCTAACGCTCGAAACGTCAGCCTTTAAACTCTTTACGGTGGCCAATTTACATTTTCAACTCAGTTGATGACACTAAATTACCTTGTTATACTCTCCAACCGACGCAGTGCCACAGTTTCTTAGGAAACCAACCCCCTTTACTTTTTTGTCTTTTGTTCTTGCCACACTTTGACGTCATCTTTAATCTTTTACTGCACAGACGCGGGCAAATAGATCTATTTTTTTATACATAGCGAATAGCAAAACCAATCAGATTGAAGCAACTATGTTATGTCGCTAGTAGATTGCTACTGACAGGTATTATTCCCAGGTTCAGATTGAGACCTATACTACATGGAACAAGTCTGACTGAAACTAAGTTTTCTTGCGAACTAGAAATAATTTTGCATGACCTTCATCACCGCCCGACATACTTGTTCAAATGAGGAATTAGAACAAAATACTCGTTACGTTAACTGATCCACAGTGTAGCGAGCCTGTTTCCTTCAGTTTAACCCTTCGATGCACTTCCACAGGTGCATGGGAAACTCTATCGGAGAAACGTTTCCAGTTTTCCACCACCGACAGTTAACCTGTAGCTTACTGTGTATAACAATAGCATAGCTCAAACACTTGTTTCATTGCGAGGCTTTTCAGGCGTAGGAGGCTTCAGGTGCGGAATGGGTACAAATACTGCAGTTTTTGGTATATCAGGGGCCCACTCTTTCTTTGCGGGCTTAGGTCGCTCTTCTCGCCACGAAGACATGGATGACCGCGGAGTTCGCTCTTTTGGCGTTTCGCCTGGGCTTGATAGTACGTCTTTGACGTAATTTTTACGAGATTGTGATCGTTGTTCGGCTCCTGCACGGTTTGACCGACGTGATGTTCTAGTTTCAATACCAAGATTATGATGTATGTCACGCGCAATTTGATAAGGATTGCGTGACCTCCGACGAGAGACATGTATTCCGTTCGGCTTATCACGAGAGCCTCGTGGAGCATTTTGAGACCTGACTCCATTTTTATCGATTGGGACGTCTGGTCTTGTATCCGCGGTTGTTGAAATTTCACTGGATGGTAACGCCTGAGGTTGCTCACGCGGTCCTTCTCCAGCATATTGATCGTGCGCTCTTTCAACGGGTTCTGGCGATGGTCCATGAATGTTGTCATGTGCCATGTTTTGTTCGCCTCCTTTCTGTGATGAATCACTATGGACAAGGTTTTGCTCGAGTGGAACTGGAAGGTGGTCGTAAGGTCGATCAGCTGGCGGCTGGTCTCGTGGTATGTGATCACGAGGTCCCTGATATAGCTCTGGTGGCTTACTGGGGTCGATAGGTATGTGACTAAGTTCAAGTGACCTCTGCGGCTGATCATGTGACCTTTGCCCCACATTATCTTGAGGCACTTGATAATTCTCATATGCCCTGGGAGAAGATGCCAAATCACGTGCCATCTGATAAAGGTCGTGCACCTTGTGAGCGGGACTTTGATCACGTGCAAGGTGATAAAAGGTCTGGCCTTGGGTCTGACTTGGTATTTGGTTAACATTAAAAGTTCTCGGATCCAAATTCTGATCCTCGGGTATTTTGAAATGATCCGGTGATACTTGTAACTGATTGTGTGGGTTATGACCAAAATTTTGCCCTCGTGGGCCTTGATATTGATCGTGCCCTGGGTGTAATACGTAATGATCCCTCCTGCTCGTAGGAAGAGGAAGTATTTGGTAATGGTCACGTGGTTTTTCCGAAAATGCCCGTGGTTCATATGGAATGTGATACCGTTCCCGCACTACGACATGATCACGTGGGATGTCACGCGGGATGCTGGTTGTGGTTTCTGGAATTGTATAATGAGTGAGAAGATCTTGAGTGTCAGATGCTGATGTGGGGACTGCTTGAACACCAGGGAGCGGACTTCGATTTCTCTTTGATGGAATTGGGGGCGCTACGTCAGAGCCTTGAGAAGAGGATCCGGGGACTGGAGGTCTCCTTTTCATTGGCGGAATTTCTATTGGAACAGACGCTTCAGACGCTGAACAAGACGTGTTAGCATTGCGTGACACAGGTTCCACACAGACTTGTTCGTCACGTACTGATGTGCGGCCTTCAGATGGAGCAGCAATAGAGGCAGTGTCCGTAGGCAGCTGAACACTTGATTCTACGGAGCTTGCTGTCCCCTCAGGTGGGGCGAGAGGTGCACGACGATCTTCTTGTGAAATAGGAAGACGGACGTTTCCACTATAGCTGTGTCGATGTCCTGGCGGATGCTTAAGAAGCCGCCCTCGGGGTTTGTGTGGCTGAGGAAGAGGAGCAGAGATACATGACTGTTTATCTGACACCGATGGTGCTTTGTCAGTTAGAGCATCAGTTTCTTTTGCCGTTACACAATCTTTCTTTTCGATGGTAATGACTGCTGAATACGGCAAGGACACATTTGACTGGGAATCTTCATCTGGCGAGAGAGGATTTTTAGCACCATGAATTTCACCCCCAGCGAATTCTGCTGCGGCTCCATTTCCGGTTTCAGCTGCCGTTTTAGCCGATGAAGTTTCATCAGAGGAGCAGGCTTGAGGACTTTCTTGTTGTAAGTGATATTCCTTTTTCGGTAAGCACTGACATTTGCAACAATACTTTTTCCAGAAAAGTCGAGTCTTTTCCTTTCTGTAACAGTAAAATACGAAGACAAGGAACCCCAAAATAATCAGAGCCAACGCAAACACGCAACTCAGTATAACGTACCAGGTGCGGGAATGTTGGTAACGAATCATGAAGACTCCTCCAACCACACTGGCGATAATGAACAATAAAATAATACAGCTTCCCCTTAATTGATCTAGCATTTCGTGTTTATCTGGCAAAGATGATTTGTCCACGTTATCACCGACCTCATCCGGATTTTCCAAAGGTTCACTTTGAATGACGAGCGCGTTTTCTTCTGCTGTGATATCAGCATCGTGTTCTTGACTGGTTTGCAGTGCAACTGTTGTTTCATATGTAATTTTCATCAGATTGTACACGCGGAGGAATACGAACAAATCTATGAGCACAATCAAACATGCAGGACCCACAAATCCTCCATAAAAGGGATGTAGCCTCAACCAACAACTGCAGGGCAAGAGAAAAGAAACTTGGTCAATACAAAATCATTGTTATCTACAGTAAGTTTCTATTGTAGTTGAGACACTTTGTCTCAAAGACAGCTGTGATTTAAACATGTACATTATTCTTCATTACATCATGTTACCTCTTATACCCCAATTCAGTATTAAATAAGAACATAGTCTTGGGTATTAAAAAAAGAAAAAGAAGATGGGAAAAAATTAGAACAACACAGCCGCTTTGGGGAGTGGGTGGAATCGAATAGGGGCGGTGCGGCAATCTGTCTAAAACTTAAAAAATTGGCAAGTGACACGACCCTTTCTTCCGATTGTAGTTTCTCGGTAATAATTGAATACCATGTCATTGCTTTAGGAAGGATAAAAATACTAACCGAGTCGCGATTCCCCTGAAACGGGTTTAAAGCTAGGGTTAGATCTTCGGCGTCATCGAGCGACGCAATCTAGAGAATTTCGGTGTTTCGAAGCCTTGCATTCGGTATCCGCAAATTCCGCAAATTCTTCTCCAATTGTCATAACCCGTAAAAAGTAAAGAAATTGGCTTCAAATAAACAAAAAACGAATTTAAAGACAAACAACAACAACGAAATCAAGTGGCAATATAATTAAAGTTCTTTGTAGTTAACAATCGACACCTATCAAACTCTGGGGGGGAAAATACACCACTAGAAAGAATTAGTGAAGATTTAATTTTTGAATTAAATCAAGTACTGTTGGCAATTTTGTACTCTGAAATACTTACTAGTCGTCAACATTGTAATTATCAAGGTTACCGGCGGTAGTAATTCCACAAATAATGAGTGGTATACCTAGCAAAATTTAAAAAAACAAAAACAAAACAAAAAACATAGAGAGGGATGAATGACCAGAATGTAACAAAAAATCTTATCGATGTTCTATGAAAGGGGGGCTTTATACGGGTAAAGATTCACAATTTCTAGGGGACATTTCCAAAATTTCCTTGGCCTGTTTTCTTTGATTGCAGTGTCTTCGTTTGAAAAAAAGAATGTGAGTGACCACAGCACTCATAAAACAAGGTTTCAGTGACTCATTTTGTGCGATAACCTAAACACTCCATCAAAATTCCAGGAAGAATATTGCTACAGCATTGACAACAAACAACGAACTAAGAGGAAAACCACGATGAGAAAATCTCCAAGCAAAAGATATCTTCATGAAAGCTGTCTATACTTTTGATTCCAAAGAATTGAATTGATTCACCGCTAAACGTCCTTTACCCTATCACTGCCAAGATCTCATCGGTGATTCTCCTTACTGTCAACCATACGATTTTAATGACGTAGGTTCGAGGAATTTGGTATTGTATCAACTAACAGTCCCCTTGTTGATATTTCCCTTTATTCTCATAACTTATGTACGTCATATTGTATTGATATTGTATTGATCCTGTAAGGAGAAATTCTGTCTTGGTCAGTCATGGGAGTTAAAGGGTTAATACACTAAAAGCAGTAAAAGCGACCATACCCCAGCTTATCATATAATATCTCAGCACAGGGTTGTATTCCTCAGGCTCAATAGCAGTTCTTATCAGTCTGTGAAGACACACTCCACTACAGCCGATCCACAGTAATGAGCTGAGCAGGAAATAATGCAACACAATCCCAACAGAGCGGCACACCAGTACATTGGTCACGTGATTGATTCCCGTCACAAACACTACGATAGAGACAATGAGAGCAAGGCACTGATTCATCAACATGGCCGCGTCATCTCTGTCGTAACGCAAATCGCTGAGGAAAAAAACAAAGAAGAGGGTTTTAAACACCGAGTTAGCAGCTCATCGCTTAAGAAACAGAAAACCGTACAGTGCACACAAAATCACCACCCAGGCAGGCTATTCAGTAACTCTAAAAAACATCAGAGAACTTAAGCAGTGTAGTTTTTGAAACGCAGACTACAACCGGAGGTAGAATAGAACTAATTATGACGGACTTTTACGCTAATATATAGGACCGTATGGTCGTCGTTAAACCCAAATTGTGCTGACCAAAAAGGCGTATTAAAAACTAGGAAAGGGAACTTTCAACCTCCGGCTGCTACGTCTAAAAAACGATGTGCTTAAGCTCCCTTAATAATTCGCTACGTCCTCGTTATTAGATTCTCAAACAATTCCTTCCGAAGATGTAGAGGGTTAAGTCAGAATTTGAAATACAACTCATTAACACTAAAAATTACAACTTTTAAGAAGATTAATTTTAAATACCAGAAGAAATTTTATTACTGAAAAATTCGCGGTAAAAGCGGTGTTATTTAACCTAAGTGATCACAAACAGCCGATCAGATTAAATGAAAATATCCCAAAGACCCAATCAGGACAAATGAAAATATCCCAAAGAGCCAATTAGGTCTTTTAACACTCATTTGAACATTGCTTTGCATGCTGTTAGATTTAAACCTCAGCAGGAAAATAACAATGCTAAGAACGCCGGTAATTTTCAAGATTACGAACATACCGAAAAATACGCCGTAGCACTCTGCCATCAAATAACCTTTATTTCATATGGCGGGAAATTGCCGCTTTGAGCCGGTGGGGACTACATATGCCCCATGTGACCAGCACAGAGTGGATGCTCTTACCGTATCAGTGCATACACTATCAGCGTAGCAAGGAGGAGAAGCACAGAGATTCCTGCACCTACGAACACAACGATCTCTATGGAAAATGGCACCACAGTCCATTCGTCATCAGTGATTGCACTGACCGCTGGTGTCTTCATAGTCTACAAAGAGAGTATTAAAACATTTGGTGAACAAACTATTTCAGCATGCTGAAAAATATAAGGAAAAACAAAGACGGTCAAATTACCATCATGACAGCAAAGTAGTCCTTGCTAGAAAGCTGTGAGCACTCTGTGATTGTATAGTTGCCTTGAGATGAAACCATGTTGCAGTCAGAATTCTCTTTCCAACTTCCAGGTCCATCTACAAACAATCGAATCACATCAGTTGCCACACATGAAATTCACAAACACAGTTCCACGGCTAGATAACAAAACTTACCATTGCCACCATGATCCCAATAAACTGGCGTAGGTTCGTCACCACTCTGTGAATATAACGGAAAGATCGAGAGTCAGCTCTAAGAGGACTCTTTCGGAACAAGTTTCTTTCGTGTATCCATGGTAATCCAGGACTGCCCTTGTTTACTTCTCTAAGCTCCGTGGTTGTCTGGGAAGTCTTCTATCCCCTCAACAGAAGGTTCAATTGGTCACTGGCGTTTTCTCAATTTACAATGCAGGTGTCCTCATTTTGGGATTTAACATCTGAGGATATTTTTCTTTGTTACGATTGGCTGTTGTGATCACTTTGATTTTGGTTTTATCGAAACTCAACTGAGAAGTACTCTTATTGTCATTCCGTTCATTTTAGACAGGAAAACCCTGAGAACAATACTTAATTTTGTATGGTGTGGAATATTTAAGGCTCACCTCGAATTAAGTAATAACATCAATAGTAACAAATCATTGAAGCACAAACCTGATGATTTTTGAATTCCATGATAATAGGCTGAGAAAAATTCGTCAATTGAATCCCCTCTGGAGCAAAAGTTATGCACAACATGAAAAGTCAGTTTTAAACACATAACACAACTGGAAACAAATAACATGAACTGCGAAGCCTTGTACAAGTATCTTGTAGGTAACTATCTTTGTGATTAAGATTTGGAAAATCACATTACCGCAGATAAAAAGAAAATCAATAAAATAACTACGAAGCATAAACTTCTGGTTCAATGATGCCATTTTTTTCAAGACATCTTGACATGCAAGCCTTCAAAAGTTCAAATGAATAAACGGTTCCTTTTAGCAAGAGTTGTATTAGTGATTAAGACCATAAGGAATTTAAACTACATTTTAATTTAAACTTGCATTTTCCCCTTCGTTCATTTACGGCTTCTTGAGTCTTCTTCTTCTAAACGACCTACGGTAAATTGTTTAAGCTACATACTGGTATCACAGTGTGCTTTAAGTTTCACAGTCAATTCTACTCACCAAACTGTGCTGACATCACACTACTAGACACCTCTCTCCTGGTATGAACTCCACTTGAATTGGAAAGTTCTGGAAAAAGTTTACTATTGGCATAGATTATAAACTGAAATTTTACACCAGCTTGGATTTGCGGAAATAGCGATGGAGGAAGGTATATGGAGGTGTCTGTCATCTGCAGTAAAAGTAAAAGCGTTCAAAAGCTTAAATAAAAAGAGAACAAGCATTATATCATATGACCACTGAGTGGTGAAAATTTCGAAAATTTTGTTTTACTCCGCACATGTATTAGCATACAAAAATAGGGCTCGACCTAGACAACTACAAAAAAGGTACGACAGTTAAAACTTTCCTCTTTTTCTTCAAGTCAAAACAAGCGCGACCCGTTTTCTCATTTGTTTTATTGCAAGTCGAAGTCCACAATTTCAATGAACGTTCTCGAAAAATGCAATGGAGCCGTGTGAGTGCAAAGCCGGACGGTTTTTTTCACGTCAACCCATCCAGCTCTGCACGTCAGCTTTCACTATGGTTTGGGATTGCGCGGGGAGGGAGGGGGTGATTGCGCGGGGAGGGAGGGGGGGGGGAGGAGCTACTATAATATGAAGATAATTATAGAATATGTGATAATACATTACTGCACATACCGGTTTCTTAGTACATGACTTATTGTATTCACATGAGATACAATTTACACGCAGCAATCTGGAGTTCTTGTCTGTCGTCACATGACACATTTTGCCTAAAACATCGAGGGGTGAGGTTTGCACAACATGTACTGCTAAGTTGTTTGCCAAGAAGGACACATCAAATTGTGATAAAACGTCCAAAGGAAATCTTGTCGCCAGTAAGCCCACACGAAGCACCATGCTGTAGGTAAACATCATAGTAGGTTTTAAGTACTTTAAATTAAGTTGATAGATTTCTAACCTAAAAAAGGGAATGTTCTGATTATTGATTCACAAATAATTTATGCTTGCAAGGTGCAAACCTTTTTTTTCTGACCATGTCTTACAGTAGTGTATTTTCAACAGAAAGCCTTGAAGGTGGGAAGGTAAAGTGGTTTTAGGCACTAGATTTGACATTGTGAACTTATCCAATGCAAATCTTCCACCACACCCCTCAATGAGTAAATCAACTCATCTGTGACATGAACCAATGGGTCTATTTCATGGAAAATTTGCCTCTCTAGTGAAATGAGGTATTCCAAGTCAATTCTGTATCTTTATCATTATCCTCCTTACTTTCATTGCTTTTGTTATCATAATCATTATCATGATCACTATCCTTAGCACCATTATTACTTTTATTATTATTATCATTATTATAATTATTGGTATTATCAAAGCTCAAACATCTTGAATACCCAGCATATTTCTTAGAAAAGGAACATTGTTTCATAGCAAACTTTGTATTATTTGGTCTAGCTTAGTCTAGCTATCTGCACGGTTTAAAGCTATTTAAGAATACAAACCTTGAACAAGACTTTGACCTCCTCTGAGCTTCTTGTAACAATGACGTATCAGCGTCCATCATGTTACTGATGGTTCCAACTAAATTTTCACCAAGCTGTAACACGAGAAAAAGAAAAAAAAATCAACCTTAAAATTGATAAAATACATGGTCAGGAGTATATTTTGGCACCATGGCAAGAGCATATATGTGTACAACATGTGCAGTGTATGTGAAGGCCTTAAGAAATAAGAATCAATTTAATGAGGTGATTTGTCCTGTGGTAGATAATTTCATGACAAGTGCATTGTATTGTTCAAAAATACTTTCTTTCTTTCGTGTTGATATGTATTAGAGTTTCTTCAGAACATCAACAAAACGCATTAAGGCCATTTTGTAAATTAGCACTTCATGATTATCATGATTTCATACAGGGGAAATGCAAGAATATACAATGTAATACTCCATCAATCAGAGCAATTCCATCTTAATAATCACCTGGCTCTGTTGTTTAGGGTGTGGATAACTCTACCAATGGATGAATCACTATCTGGTGGATAGTGCAGCATATTTTGTTCACACTTATCCACTGGATGGTGATTTATCCATTGGTTCACAGTATCCAACCTTTGAACAACTGGGCTCTGGACAAGAATAAGCATGACATTATTCTTGACCTGAATAATCACTTCAGCTAGAGTCATCCAGTTTTTATAGCTGTGTGCTGAGTTGCCAAGCCCTTGAATAGGAGAGAGGCTATGGATGACCTTTTTCCAACACAAACCATATTGCTGTTGTTTTTTTTTTGTCATTCATAACTTTGATATCCCTCAAACTACTTGGTAGTCTCTATCACATCAGGGTCTATCTCTGTATGCTCCTCAGCAAGGGCTTTTTAACTAAGCACATGACTGTAAAATAGGCGATTACACTAATAGAGAATAGGTCATTTTACAGTTGTGTACTTAGTTGCCAAGCCTTTGATTTGGAGTGAGGCTGAAGGTGACCTTGCTGTGATAGAGACCAGTATCTAGTTAGCATGATAACAAAGTAATTTACATTTGAAAAGCAGCAAGGTTTGTATCATAACAAGGTCACCCTTAACCTCATTCCTGTTCAAAGGCTTGGCAACCAAGCACACAACTGTAAAATGGACTATTGATAATACTCCCAAAGAAACACTATGTGAACAGTGAAAACAATAGTGCAGAATGCATTAGAAGGGTGACCTTGGAAAGTTGATAAAAAACCCACAAGCTCCTTACTTTTTTATCTCCTCCAATGACCTGTGCCAAATTCTTCACAATGTCAGCAGTATATACAACATCCAGTGGATCTGTATATTCCTTAGCTCGTCTTGATATGTTCAGTAAATTCCCGCTGACAGATTCAACTGTTGTCTCGTTAACTGTTTTCTGGTCAAAATGGAAATAATACATGTAAACACATTTCTTACCCATACTAGAAAAAGTATAAATTTCACAAAGTTCTGAGAAAAGAGACAGTTTCCTTGCCCTGTTTCTTTGCCAACTTTATAATGCCAACAACTACATGCAGACTCCAAGCTGTTACTTTCTTTCATAATAAAGGAAGTGAAATGAAATATCTAGCAAAATTTTTGCTTCACACTGACAGGAAATAATGGAGATACATAGAGAGTTGTCACAGGAAAATGGGCCATAAACTAGCTGCATACTCTCTTATTTATCTTGGAGATAAAAGAATAAGGTCCTACCACCGGAAAAGCAACCAGCTCTCAAGCCTGAAGTGTGTCCACCCATAAAGATTAAAAATTTGTCAAATTAAATTTAGAAAATACAGGCAGTATTTCTGGTAGTAATACTACAACTCCAAGTACTCCACAATGCATGGTTGCCACAAATAACAATTGGACCCTGTAAACATAACTTTAGTTTCCTGTTTGCCTAAAATTTCCCCCAAAAATATATTAATAACTAACAAAGTGTCTTGGCTTTGCTTGGCCCTTACACTCTTATGAGTGTCCAAGACGAACAATTACAAACAGACAAGCCATGAGAATAAAAGAAAAATATCAATTAGGGGATTATTAGTTTATTCAATACCACATTTACTGATCTAAAATCATAAGAACTTTATGGCAGATGGTAAAGAGAATTACTTATAAGATCTGGGAGTGAAAGGGTTAATACAGTCTAACAAGCCACCAAAGGTGGCAAAAAACACTTGTTACTCCTTAACCAAACCTATTCATGCACTTGACATGACACCATTCTCTAACAACTAGTTTTACCTGTTTTAAATCATACAAAGCACGAGTTATTTCACTGGCATGAGCACATGACTGTGCCTCTACAGGCATCCAGACACCTTCTCTTGAGCAATTTCTTCTGGCCATGATTTTATCTCCCATACCATCTATCAGGCTGCTCCTTACACCAACAGGGCAGGGCAAGAAGGCAATACCCCCAGCAGCTGTATGATGCCAGTGAAATGTTCCCCGTTCATTCTTTGTGGTAACTGCTCTGCAGAATTTACCATTAGATGGAATTATCGAGAGACGTGATGTCCAAATATGCAGATAGCCTCCTTTGTTTGTAACATTACAGCTGTAATGGCCCCCATCTTCCACAGTAAGTTGTTTTATGTGCAAGACAGATGAAAGTAAAAGTTTGTCATGGTCACGCTTCAAATCAATGCCTATCCGTTTGTCTTTAGTGACTGGTTTATTGTTCTTGTACCAACTTAACTGTGTGCCAGGAATCCAAGATGAGTTACATTCAAAGGAATAACTGTCACCATTGAAAGCAATTTGATCTCCTTGTGGACCAAGTGACATGGTTTTTAATGCATGTTTATCTATAAAGAAAAATTAACAGTTAACAAGTGCTGTCAGCAGTATTTTAATATTCTTGTTTCTGAGTTACATCAATAACTATCTATGGGCTCAAGCTTTGTGTGAAAAAAACAAATCTGTTTTGGCAAAATAAAATACTCAAAGGCACAATATGCCTTCAAGGTTAAAAAATGTCTCCTTATTTCACATTTAGCTTCCTTGGAGCATATATTCCAAGGACTGCCCCCCAAACCAAGCATCTGAGAGACTCAAAATTATATAAACACCTTACCACATATCATCTCCTTCTTGTTAACACTTGCAATTGTTTTGTCCCTCAGCTTAAGAGGTTCCTCACAAGTGCCTTTAATAGATGATCGTCTGTCTGGCCTACTTTTTGCAATCCATTTCACCATCCATTTCAGGTTACAGTCACAGATCAAAGGATTAAGTTCAAGATCACTTCAGAAGAGATAAAACAAATAATTAGCCTGTAAGGTCAGTACACGGATCAAATAAAACCTATTTGTTTCTTTGTCATCTGGTTTTCCCACTTTATTTGATAATGTGAATTGGTCACCACAAGGAGATTCTCAAGCTGACATTCCAAGCATTAGCCCTTCATTGGAGGGAATAGACTTGCTCAAATGAAGGGCCAATACTTTCAACGTCAGCCTTGTAAACTTTTATGGTGGCCAATTTATATCAACAACTCAGTTGATTAAACCAAGTTATAGTGTAATCTTGTAAGACCCCTCTCCTCTCCCACTGATGTAGCACCACAGTTTCTTTAGAAACTTTCCCCTCTATGGCTTCTTTCTTTTTTGGCAACAAGACTTTGGTCTCCTATCCAAACACAAATCTTAGGAGAATCTTTTTTTTTGTTCTCAATCACAGTGTGTTTCATGGGAAAGATCACTGATCACTACTGGATGTCATGATGATTATATTTTGCTATAAAAACTGTGATTTTACAATTTTCCTTCAAGCAGCAGATTTAAACAAGGAAGGGATAACACTATCTGAGTAACAGTCAGTGACACTAATACCTTTTTAATTAATACCTTCTGTAGAACTAGAACTGAAAATAAGACACTGGTAAAATCAATTGAAGTAACTAATTAAAAGTGTTTACAAAACATTCGATGTATGCAGGCAGTTTGTAATTTTCAATGAAATTTTTTCATTTATCCCTGGCAGTTAAAACTGACAAGGGTACAAAACTAGTTCGATTATGGACCTGAACTTAGGTTTATACTAAGGAGAAAATTGATAGTAATAAGATACAATGTACTTTAAAATGATACAAAAGCACATTTCTGAGGAACTATTTATTACTTGTAACTTCTCAGTGACAGCTCTATCATTGACTCACAAATTCAATAAAATCAATTGTAATTGTAACTGTTTCTGAGCATCAGGCTCAAAAATATTCGGCAAAGTTTCAAATTAGATTAAGTTCAAAATTTACTTAATCACATTCTTATGCTTGAGTTATCATTGTTGTGACTTGGTTTTTTTCTTCTTGACCAGATGTTTGGTGCTGTCACTCAGTTGATGGTTGTATGGCTGTACAACTTTATTCAGCATATCTTTAACAGCTTCGTGTTCAGCTTTTAGGTTGTTATGCATCAGGAGAATGACTTTGTCAAATGTTAGAATCAACTGCCTCATAAACTGTACAAGTTTGTTGACATTATCCTCGATGCGCGTCATTGTATAAGTCAAAGTAATAACCATCTTTGCGAGACCCTCATTTGACATATTTCCCTCTTCTGCTTGGACAGTAATAAATTTAACAGCTTTTTTCATGACATTGAGAATTTTGACCAGTTCCTCAAGAGCTTTGTTCAAATCACACACCACATACCACTGCCCATTATAAATCCCCTCAATTTTTTCCATAGCTTGTTATACTGAGAAGTTTCACAGAATACCTGTTTGAGTTTTTTTTTTAATTTAATTCCTAAAGAGCAAACAGATGAATTGATTTTTTTATTTTATTAATGAGTAAAAACCACATTTCCCTTTTACTTTGCATTAAAAATTAAGCATCTAGCCAGATTACCAGGAGAAAAAGTTGATAAAATCAAACACAAATTTCATTTCTAGTCTCAAAATATACTGTGTAAATGATAGCACCGGTTTGCTGCGGCAAAAGTGTTTTAAAATTTCTAGAATTCTTCTACAATAGTAATCTGATGAACCTCTGAAGACCAATTTCTTCATAAAACAACTTTTTTTTTTACCTTATCATTTTTCTACATAACATATTTCTTAATATATACATCTGGACTTGTGTTCACCCCAGAAAAGCACCTCAGATAAAATAACCTTAACTATCAATCAGCAATATCACCATAAATTATTAAACAAAATCAGAATATTAATGAATTGTGAGTTTGTGTGTTCAGTATGTCATTTTTGGAGAGATCTAAATGCAATTTGTACTCACATTTTTTGTAAGTTACCAAGTGAGTTAAATAATCCTTCAGGAAGGAGAGTCAGCCTGTTGGAAGATAAATTTCTGAAAGGAAAAAAGGAAAAGGAAATGAAAAGTCATCCCACAAATCAAACAATGAATATAGTAAATTATTGATGACAAATTGACTGCAATCATCTTTTGGCCATAAAGAGAGCAGGGACTTGAGGTCAGGAGTCTTGATGCCTGACTAGGAGAGAACTCGAGCTCAAAATTTATAAACCAATCCAACAGCTGACTGTGAGTTACTGATGCATGTACATGTACACTATATCCAGTAATTGACTCAACATTTTACCTCTAACAAACTTACATTATCCTAAGATTCTTGCAACCAGAAAATTGAGTCTTATTTAGCTTGAACATGTGATTGTTTGAAACATCACTGAAAAAAAAAAGAAGAAGAAGGTTTATCACAAAAAAAGTTGGCTACAAGGGGTAGGATTGATATTAAATATACAGCTAGTTAGGAGTACCTCTCAGACATGGACAACAACAACAATGTATTATAGCCTAAGTTTAGGTTTTTTTTTTTATTAGAGTCCAACAGCTTTAATTTTAAAAGCTAAAAGTTAGACGATCTCAGCTTATAGGCAAATAAATATGATATATTTGACTTGCTGATGCAAGAGAGTTAAATTGGACTGACAGAAGTGTCTCTCTATTTCTTTTGATTTGGTTTAAAGTAAATTATATCACTTTGAAAGTATTAACTTACTTATTCACTAAAAGATTCCTCACAAAAATAAACAATGACATGTCGCACAAGCTTTACACTGGAAACCTTGAACAATATTGTTAATTCTTACAATCTTGGTTACAAGAGGAAAGAGTGATATTCCCTGTAATCAAATGTACATGTACTGGTGCATGGTAAAGGTATTAAAATGGTGCGTACAACTTGTAAACAAAACATAAAATACTTTGTGAATGTAAAGTATGAGAGTTTATCTATATTCATAAGTAAGTTTTGACAGTTACAGAATAAACATTGTAGGTTGAAATGACTAAATGAGAAAAAAATATCTCTACTAACCAGGTGGGCCATAAATCTGAGCAGAAAAAACTTTGCATAAAAAAATGAGGTGGTTAAGATAATTATTTTATATATTTGGGTTCAAGTAGAGGGGGAGACTTCAATTCAAACAAACTTTTGAATTTTGAAGGTCAAACAGTTAAATACAGCTTACTAAATTGAACAATCATGGTGCACATAATAACTGGTAGGTGTCATAACTCACATTATTCTAATATTCCTCAGTTTCCTAAAGACAGCTTCATCCAGGAGGAATAATTTGTTGCGACTAAGATCACTGAGGAAGAAAAATTACAAATTATAAACTAAAATAAATAAAAAATAAATGTCAGTGAGTAATAAAGTAAATTACAGGTGTTATAAAATATACAGACCAAAATTAAAATACCTCAATGAAATATTTCATAGTAAGAGTAACTATTCTATACAAGATACATGTATAAATGCAAAAGAGAACTGGTAAAAATCAAAATACAAATCTTATAGAGGGATAAACAGATCTTGTAAACAGAGGCCCAGTATATTGAATTAATAAACTGGCAAAGATCAACTGATAAGTTAGTTTAGTTGCAAATAAAGAAACCTCTCCTTTTCATAGCTTTTTACAGCATACACTGTATATCTATTGGAAATAAACACTGTAACTTTCCATACTGTATCAGTTTTTGCTGATAATTGTTCCTAATCAATAATCAATTTACGCTGGATTTTTATAAAAACAACTGAATTGATTCCCATTTTAATCAATTTTAATTCAATCCTCCTATTCAGAAAAAGAGAAAAATGCTCACATTTACTGTGTGGAAAGGATATCAATTTATTTTCACATGAAGTATTTGTTTGGTGAGCTTCGTGCCTCAATAAACCCTTTTACTTCCACAAATATGAAATTACCGTACCCCTTCTGATATCAAAGTTGAAAACATTATCAGCCGGGGCATGGTAGGTTAATCAGTCTTAGATCAAATTCTTTGCACTGACAGGTAACAAAAGCTCTTACACTAATTAATAATGAGAATTACAACTCCACTCTTGGGACTAAAGAGGTTAAACTTTCTCAAATGTGAAGAGAGAGCTTAACCTACTGGAATGTACCATGATAAGCTTAACTAAATTCTGCTGTTAAGAGGAATCTAGAATTAAATTCCTAATTTTTACAATCCGAGAGGTGGAATTAAAAAAAGACACAAAAAACAAAAAACATGGACTGGGGAAGGGAATTGGTATGACCCACCCTTCTTTCTTTCTATCTTATCAGCACCCTCACTTGTTAAAGAAAGGGAGCAGTTGCAAGATAACTTGACCAGCCCTTTAACATTTTGTCATCTTATCTTGCAAGACATCTGAGAAAACCCAAATAATATGGGTCTCATATTTTCTTACTTTCCTACAAGAAATTGTGTACATCATATTTGGTTGAGCAACAAGCTAAACCATGCATGATACTCAACATGAAATCAAGAATTCTACAATATGTTAAAAAAAAAACTGAAAACCAGTAAATACCAACTCTACTAATTTTAACCCGCACTGCTGTTTTCTCAGCTTATGTGAGGATAGTATAGCACATTTAAACATACTACTCACAGCTTTGTTAATCTGTTCAACCCTGAGAACGCATCTGGTTCGATCTTTTCTAGTTCATTGCCAGACAAAAGTCTGAAAAAAAAAACACACACACACACAACATCAATTAATACTGACGAGGATTTTCGAGTCAGAGGCTAAGTTGTCTTCTAATTACCATCGGAAGTGCCATAAAATTTTGTAAATTATCGTGAGCCTAACTGAGGGGAAGTGAGCACTACATCATCGTGTACTATATGCGTAGCAGGAAGCCACTTCGATTGATTCCCATTGACTCTTTCAATTATTGCAACAACCGGGCACGCAAAAATTCGAGCGACATAAAAAGCCAGAAAGATAAACACAATAAGTTTATTTTGAAGATAAGTACACACTTATACGCACAAAGAAACATTGTGGACAGCGTAGAGAAACGGGGATGGAGATTGGAAGTAAATAGCAAATTCCTTCCATATTAAATCAAGCAATCAATATTCAGAAACTTTCTCACAAGTATTTGTATGTTCTTTGGGGTTATTGATATTGGTCACTATAAACTTTGCAAATGATGCAACCATAGGATGTATAACAAATTGAACAATGGAAACTTTGCGGAAAATAATAGAAAATTCAATTAATGTGCATGCATGTTAATATCATTTGTAGCTACCCGGTTCATTAATCAAATGAACTTTAACTTTCCATGAAATAAAAAAAAGAAAACATAAAGATTCCACTTACAATCGCTTTATTTTTGTGAGATTTTTCCTTTTGAAGGCATTGTTTTTGATCGTCTGTATCGCATTATCTGACAGATCGCTGCAATGGAGGCAAAAAGGCAAAGGCTTCAAAATTCCTACTATGCTCAAAAACCATGACTAACTTGGCTTTTCATAAAGTCAGTTAGGATATTAACTGCGGCTTTACAATTGGAGAAGAGTTCTATGTCGAGAAAAAATTACACAGAAAACACAGTAAAGACAAGAATATAAACATCAGCGTAATCCTAAAACGACAAAGCCCATAACATACGATCGGTCTTACTCACAGTTCGAATGTGTCGTCCGGCAGATCATTAGGGTTTATTGGCGTTTTCAATCCTTGGTTCGCACAGTTTACTGAATAACCATTCGCTTTTTGTTCACATCCACATTTCGGTGGGCAGTTAAATGATGGCATCACTCCATAACCAAACAGCATCAGCAACGCAAAGATGAGATTTGTAAAAGCTGTTTTCATTTGCATCATGGCACGGCGTAAAGGAACTTCGCTCGAATACTTTTAGGTGACTGATGAACGGATAATGGCCGGCCTTTCTACCGACATACAGAAGGCAGTTTACTTCAGTCCTGCTAAAATCTTCCGAACATGATATCACAGGATTTCGGAACCAAAAACCGCCTTAAATGAATTGCCCCCGTTTTGAAGTGAGATCAAGCAAGCAACGTTCTGATTTGCATTTTCTTTTGATGCCGACGACAAATACCTCCCTGGGGACTCCCACGGGGATAGCATGCTGTACAAGTATCTTGTTTGTTTGTTTGTTTCTCCTTCTCTCTCTTTTTCGTCCATATAATTTACCAATCGTTTCAAAAACTATGAAAAATTATTGATTATGGAAAGGCAGAGTTAACGGGTTACAAAAATATAAATGAAAACATTGGATATTTATTTTTCGGGGAGCTTGTTCTCCCCATCCCGATGGGTATGACTTTGTGACTCGGGCAAGTAACTACTCTGCGAGTGGTCGGTAAGGAAGATTTTGTAACCCTCCTACTTGCCGCACGTGGGAAGGTTCCAATATGGCAGTAGCAAGGGTTTTGGTTTATGGCGGGAAAGGAGCCCTTGGAGCTACCTGTGTGACTTATTTCAAATCCAAAGATTGGGTAAGAAAAAACAACATTCTTAGCCTAGCAATATTTACGGGTGGAAAGTAGTTTTGTGCCTGGAACTTTTGACGATCGCTTTCTATTTTGTGGTGATGATCAGCTGTAATCAGGCCCTGCTGTAATAATCCGTACTTCACTAGGTCTGTACATCATCAGTAAAAAAACATGCTTTTAGATTAGAATCGTCTGATCCACATTTCTGAAGCGGTAGCTGGAATTCCAGAATTCGTCGGAATTCTTAAATTTGAGTTGGTTTTGTTTTCAGTTAACATTTGTGGCACGAATTATGTCAAAAATTTCCAATAAAGCCGTCGCGAAATTAAGCTAAAGGGCTTAACGTTAAATCTGTGAGCGGAGAAATCATATTTTAGTCTTCGCATTCAATAACTTTACACCTCGATATGAGTAGATACTTGCTTAATAACATTATCGTATGTGGAAGAAAACGTGCATTGTGCGTCGAGGAGAAATTAAAAGAGAAGCACTGTGGGTAATATCTAATAATCTTTGGAGGCCAATGTTATTTAAACAGGGAGAAATCCCTGTTTGGCAGAAGGAGCTGTTTCCCCTTTGTAGATTTATTAAGGCAGTAAATAGTTTTGTGCTGTCAGTTAACACAGTTTCAGAGGGTCTGTAGAAGCCGTGGTTTAGAGGAAGCAGATTTAAGGTCCAAACCCAGTGAAACAAGTAGAGTGATTCATTCTGATAGATGTGGTTTAAGGAAGCAGATTTAAGGTCCAAACCCAGTGAAACAAGTAGAGTGATTCATTCTGATAGACAACAACTCCTTACGAGATATTTACTGTGGGATTTTTGCAACCAAGATGTCATCAGAAACATGTACTGTGAAAAGGTTTACTGGGTGTCTTGTCTTGTTCCCTTTCATTTGGGGGCAATGTCTGTTTTAACACCAAATTTCAAGAATATCTTTATAGGAAATTTATGAGAGAAAGTAAGACTTAGTGTATTGATCTTGAGAGTGAAAATATCAAAGATAACCCTAGTATTCAGTCTCCTATATCATTTTTGGTTAGAGTGGAGTGTATGGGAGTTCTCTGTTTTACACATAGAATACAATGGTATAATTGCTCCGGTGATTCTAGAGATGCTAGATGATTGGTCAAGGATTGCATCATATCTTGCTATAATCACCTTGTACAAAGTGATTATAGTAGGAGCGATCAATTTCAAAATGGCTGCCTCATCGTTAGTCTGCGTGACGGAGGAAGTGATGAACATGATAAAGGAAATTCAAATCCGAAGAACGTAAATGATGCTACTTAATTTGGAGTAACACTTTTCAAAAGAAAGATATCAAGTTTTTGCTGATTGAATTATATTAAGTTATCAAATTCTAGAGGAAAGTGGCTCTTTACTTCAGTAAAAGATATAAAAGCAATTGATACTGAATGGTTTTTACATCAAAAAAAAAATTTACAACAGAATTTGAAAGCAACTGAGCAATTATACTTAAAAAAATTATTTGCCTCAGAGTCAGTGATTACTGTTGAATAATCCCCTTGACCTTGTCTCAGGGATCATTTGACAAAATTCACTTTGCCTTCTGCGAACAATTGTTAAACAGTGAGACAGTGGTCTCCTGTTGGTTGCATCTTATCTACAAGCAGTTCTGCTCTTCTTTTTTTTTTCTTTTTTACAGTGGGTGGCTTCTGTTGACTTGTTTCCTAATGAAGAAGCACATGCAAATGTGGTTGTTACCAAGACAGACTCATGGACTGAGCAAAATGAAGAGGTGTGTAATATTTGTGTTTAAAAAAATTTTTGTAAAAATATGGCTACTGCATGGGATGGGATGATATTTGAAAGATTAATAGATTTTTAATAAACACAGTATATCACTGATTGTTTTGTACTTTGCAACTTTTAATTAGTTTTCATCTTAACGGATGAGCATATTAAGATGGTAATGGAATGTGACTTGCATATCATTTAATGCATTTGATGCATTTGTATTTGTTTACAATGTGCAACTCCTAGTTCCTACTTTCCCCAGTCTCCTTTCCTGAGAATATGAAAATAGAACATAGTATAAAAACATTCTTCCAAATATCTGTGTGACATTCTCCACCCTTTAGTGGCAATTGGTTTGTCCATGTACAGTACAAACACTAAGGTGCCTTACTCTAAAGATCAAGCAGCTTGTTATTCATCCATCATCGTTTCTTTGACATCAAATACTTACCTGTAGGCATTATTTAACTCTGCATCATCAAAATCAAAATCGAAATCAAAACACTTTTGGAGTCAGAGTTGCCTTTTGACATATTACTCACAATATACAGTTACAGATGCTGGTAATTCATGAATGATTAATAGTTAGCCACTGTTATGTGCTTGTTCTATTTCTTTTCTGTGGCTAAAGATACTAAGTCATCTTCCCAGTGAGCTTCTTAAATCATTTGATGAAATACGAGGTAGTATCTGAAGCTGAATGTCACAATAAATAACCAGCTTTTGCACAGAACAATAAGAGTAAGACATCCATTGTTTTTTTTTATCATTACTGATGAGCAGATCCAGCCCAAGGTTGAGGAGATCCTTGATGGTAACAAGTTTGATGCAATAATCTGTGTTGCAGGAGGCTGGGCTGGTGGCAGTGCCAAAAGCAAAGGTGAAGTAAAATCTACATACGCAGACACATGCCACAAGGGCTTTGCCAGTTCCTGCTGTTTGATGCAATTTGGATCATTGTTTCTCAAGTAGAATGTTATTGATTAGTGGTATGTTATCAACTCTGTTATTCCTTTGTGGCAAAACAATGACCATTCTAAGGCTGCCTTCTTTCAAGTATGATTATCCATTAATAACTCTTAAACCTGGTTGAACACAGTTATAGGTAGGATCATTTTTGCTGAAAAAAAATCATTCACTGAATTGTATTGTTCAGTTTGTTTGCTGTAATTATCCTTAACTGTTTGTGGCTTTTCATGTATCAGCTGTTGTCAAGAATGCAGACTTAATGTTCAAGCAGAGTGTTTGGACCTCTCTTATTTCTGCCAGTATCGCTTCTAAGCATTTGAAAGAGTAGGTATCAGACTGTATGTGAACGTTCTGCAAAATGGCAAATGCTATACTTTTTACATAATTATTTCTCCTGTCGCTCTGTTTGTTTTTTTGTTTTTTCTGGCACTAAGTCTTAATTTTATAACAGTTGACTAGCTCCTCTTACCAAATTTATGTAGTTCTTCTTTGTATCAGATGGAATAAGTAAGAAAAAAATTATTTATTTACTGTGTTAAACTCTAAATGAACACTAGTAGCAAGGTGCATGTCTCCACATTTTTGTGATTAATTTAGACTGACACCACTCTCTTCATTTAAGTTGGGAAAAGGGGATAATCATCAATTAGGGGAGATATCTGATAATAAACAGATAGTCTCTGATCAACCAGTGGTTATCAAAACTAAAATGTAGAATCACAAATTGAATTTATTCAATAATTTGAGGCAAGTAGATCTAAAGATTATGGTCACTGTACTTGAAAAAACTTGAAAACTTACAAATCAATTGAAAAGTAGTTAACAAGACATAAAAAGTGGTGGTCGGTGGTTTTGCATTTCAAACATTTAATTTATTTTTTCCCTAATTTCAGAAATGGTATGTTGATGTTGACTGGAGCTCAGCCTTCTCTGGGGGCTACACCAGGTAAAACTGCTTCTTTTTGATAATCTTGTATTAATTGGAACTTTTTGAAACAGATACTTTTAGAAAACTTTTCTGTTACAGATGGCATTGCAATAAATTAGTGCTACCCATCCCTCCCCCCACTCCCCTCCCAGCCACCTGCTGGACTCAAGGAGGGAGCCACTCATGGATTCCTGAATTCATTGTAGTGTATCTTTAACAGCAGTATGTCATTCTCCTTTTTTGTGCAAAATCAGCTAACAGGATTAAATTTAAAGTCTACACCTCAATAATGTATTATAAATTAACAGGAATGTTGGGTTATGGTATGGCCAAGGCTGCTGTGCACCAACTTGTCAAAGGACTTGCTGATGAGAAAGGAGGTCTGCCAAGCAATGCTTCTGTTCTGGCTATCTTGCCGTAAGTGTGGATGTGTTAGTTTTTGAGGATTACCCTCATTCCTGGGCTGGTGGGAGACTTCATGTCTTTTCTAGTGGTTAGCACCATGAACTCTGCCATATTGCTCAAGGTATTGAACCCAGTTGGCTCATTGTGATTTATTTTCACAGCACCTCTCTCTGCCAAGGGCTGTTATCAATATACTGTCAAGTGAACCTGACAATATGTTGGCAGGATTGTCTGCAATAGACAACCATCCCATCAAGGAGGAGTGGATGTACTTGTTGTTGCTCTCTGGCCTGAGCAGTAGAGGGCTCTTAAAGCCCACTTGGCCTCAGGACCTAAATGTCCAGTAGTTCCTGAACCTAAACATTTCTTACCCAACTGCAAGGGAATATGTTCAATGTGTTCATAACAGAACACGTATGTCAGATATTGGAGGGAGTGTTGTTTGCTTGCTCCTTGACTTTTTGTGAAATTTGTTAGAAGGCAGGACTGCAATACCTTTATTATTCTTAGCTTGTGAATGTTTTCCTTGTTACACCAGACTCTGTTAGTCAAACCCTAGTTCCAACAAAAGCCAGAACATGACACTAGTTCAGATAGAGCTCTTTCTTATATCTTCCACATTGGAAATCCCTGAAACTCATCACAATTTATTATGTAGCGTTCAGTATTAAGCATTGATCAGTTTACATTGGACTTATAGAAGCAACCTGACTTACTCTTCTCTTAACAACAGCATGACATTAGACACACCTGGTAACAGGAAGGGGATGCCTGATGCTGACTTCAATCAATGGACACCCCTTGAGTATGTTGCAAAGTAAGTCTATTATTTGATTTTGTTATTAGAGTTTTTTTAAAATACACAATTTTCGCGTCAATCTTTTGATAAAACGCGTTAGATCAGGACAGACAAGAACATCGCTTCTGTAAATCTGCAAAATGTTACTTTTTCTGTTTCGATAACCGAATTGAATTTATTTGTGATAAAAGTGGTACCACGACGAAGAATAATTTTTTCTACTTCTAAATCTTTAGGATTTATCACTACTTGGCGAATAACTTGTGTCAGGCTATTGTTACTAGTTAATAAAGGGGTAAGTTTCTAAAGAAACTGTGGTGTTGCGTCGGTGGGAGATTACAACAAGGTGATTTAGTATTATCAATTGAGTTGATAACGTAAATTGGTCACCGTAAAGGGTTTCAAAGCTGACGTTTCAAGCGTTAGCCCTTTGTCAGAGCGTATGACGAAGGGCAAACGCTCGAAACGTCGGCTATGAAACTCTTTGCGGTGGCTAATTCAGTTGATAATACCAAATTACCGTATTGTTGTCGGTAAACACCGTGCGTTCTCTCTGAGCGCCTTTGTAAGCTAATGTATGTCGTCTTTGTATTCTTGGCAGCTTGTTATTTGAATGGACTCAAGGTAGTGATGTTCCACCGAGGGGAAGTTTGGTCAAACTAAAAACCCAAGATGGAATCTCTTCTTATGAAATTCACACCGGCGGACTTCTTTGATAGAATTGTGACATCGCTAACAAAATGATCTTCTTTGATTCCTATGGCAATGAAACAACCGTTTCTACCAAGAGGTACTAAGCAAGGCCGAGCCAGGATAATCATTTAGGGAAATATTTCCAAATTTGTACTGCTATAAGAAAAATTTCACAAGACGGCAGCCTTTCCAGTTTCATAGGCAATTTGTTAGGGTTTACTACTAAGGTGTACATTAAAGTGTGGATCCAGGTTGATCGGTGATTAAAGTAGGGTGAACAGTTCTTACAATTTGTCTTTTCGTAAGCATCAATATTGTGGCTACGAGGGACCGTAAATGGGATCTTACCATTTCATCAGTACTTAAGGTTACTGTTTTTTCTTACGATTTATCTGTCAGCCCTTCCTTTGTCAACGTCAAATGCAGTTCAGACGTTCGTTTTTTTTTTTTTTAAGAATGAATTTAGACAGCTTTAGTGGCGCAGTTAAATGTGACCATTTTTTTGTTTGTTTGTTTATTTTTTTTACTTGAACAAAATCTCCTTCGATCTTTAACTCCCAGAAAAATATCTATACTGTACCTGATTTTCCTCGGAAGGACAAACAAGGCTTTGCTCGTAGGGTAACTAACGCTATGCCTTTGAAGAAATGGTGCTGCTTTTTGTGGGTTCTACAATGAAACCAATCATGTAAGGACACCTCTATAAAGTGTATACGTGCACCTTTATTCTAAGGTTAGAAGCTCTGCTTTCAGCTGAAGGGAAAAATACTCCTTCGTGCTTTGCATTTGTTATCATCTTTGATGTGACACGTTTACTGTTCCCGAATCCCGAGGCTATACCCTGCGTGTAGTTACGATGTAAATAACGTATCCATTTCACAGAAATGTCTATTCATTGTTGCATTACAATGAAAAGGCTTCATGTATTTACAACTCACTCTACGTGTATTAACAACTCACACTTAGACTACCTTAAACAGTTGTTATTTTAGAATTAATAAACTTTACAACTAGAAACAGCAGATGTTTCAACTGTAAAGTGATACTTAATTGACCATATTACTATTAAGTGATTTCAAAGACAGTCACTCGGTTGTTTATCTCCAACAATACATAGTTACACCGGAAAGTGAACTTATGCGATGAAGGAAAAAACAGACAAGTGACTGTACCACATAGTTGTGACTCGCCGATTCTAATACTTATATTGCCTATAACTATGGCAAGAAAGCCCGTAATCGAGACTGCCATATCTAACATGTATGCCCAAAAACTACAGTGATGTATCTGAGTTATTAGGTAAACGGTTTGCTCTGTCACAGCCTACGTTACATAGTTTAGTAGTTTATTGAAAAGAAGAAGCGAAGCTATCCAAAGAGAGTCATGCGATGATTTCATTTTGAAACTTTCAACTCGATGCAAGTTTCAGAATATATGTGTTCCTGTTTACTTTGTTTGCTATTAATATCCATAACTGTTGGTGTCTAACCTTTTCAAACTCCATTAACCCCGTTTGCCCAAATGTGAATTGAACATTGAAATGTCAGTCAAATTTTCAGGTTTGATAACTTTCTAGAAGTCCTGAAAAGTGCCGTTCTAAGAATCGTAGTTATAAATAGGAGTTATTTGAAAACAATCAAGTTTCGGTTTCAAGCGGGAAAATCCCAGCTTCCACTTGGTCACATGAATTGCTACTGATGCTTATCATTTAGAGATTCCGTTCTGTAGAGTAATTTCCAAAAGTGAAAGAAGGTTACATCGAGGTTTGTGTAATTGTGCAAAGTGTGGTCACTTCATCTCCTGAGTATGACAAGTATTTAGTTATATACAAAACTTGAGTCCGAGATATGAAATATAAACCGTCAGCAATCTTTATCAGTTATTGAATTATATTGTGAGCTAGGCTATTTCCGTCTCGCATTTCATCAAACCACGAGTAGCTTGTGTCCATGCGCATCATTAATAGCCACAGCAATGCGTGCCTCCTTCGTCACACACATCCCTGATACACACCACATCCCTTTTTCTTCCTTATGTTGGATGTATATGTTGCGTTCGAATGTGCCACCTTTGCTGTGTATGGACACTTGTAGGCAATGTTCCGCGTTTAGTGAGGCGACGAACACATGATCTGTTGGCGGAAAACAGAATACTGCAGCTCCTCTGGGAGAAGTGTTCCCTCTTACACGGAACTGATGATAGTGGCTTCCATCTGCATTAAAAGCGTAAATGCAAGAGTTTCGTTGTAACACCATAAAACCTCCATCATTGGTAGCTGTGATGTCAATTGCGTCTTTTAATTGCTCTCTTCCAAAGCGGTTACGGAAGCGTCCATCACTGCCATACACTTCTACTTCACATGGAGTAGAATAATCGATGAAGGAACTTGGGGTACAGATCACATCTTCCACTAGCACAGCCAACTGATCAGTCTTGTTGTTTACTGCCACAGAGAGAACTCTGTGCCCTCTCTTTTCAAGAACAATGCTGCTTAACACTCCTTGGATGTTAGAAAGGTACCTTGCGTCAGTTGTGTCCACCAAAAGGGACATTCTTCTTTGTTCCGTAGTCGGTTTCACGCACTGAATTTTCAACGTTGCTTGTACACTAATTGACACGACGGAAGAGCAAAATTGATCTTCATCACTATCAAACGTTTTTGTTTCACCGTTCCGGATGTCTAAAAGAATAAACTGTCCTATAGACTTTTCCTTAGTTCTGTATAGAGCAGGTAGTTCGGGGACCTCATTATTCACCTGGAGTTTCTTCAACCCTTTTACAATCCTCGCGTCACGTATAGGGTCAATCTTCTCCTCCTTAATAGTAATGCACGGCCAGTCCAGGAGCGCGGATCTGTGATCACCAACCATATGAGCGATTGCTAACACAGCATGATTAATGCGACAAACGCCTGAGATAACTTCGTTACGGTCATTCTTGCTTAGTCGAGACTTGAAGCTCCTCTTGACTCTTTCTTGAAAGGTCTTCTGAACCGCCATCGCGTGAAGCTCCTCCAAGTGATATCTACAAAGGGGCAATGCAATGCTTGGGCTGTCTGCATTCTCTAATATTGTAGCCAAAACTAGGTACTCCATGGCCAATATTCGAACAGTCGGACGTAAGGCTTTGTTACTGACGGCCTCGGTTGCTTTCTTGCGAGCATCCTTAAATCTTTTTTTTGCCTCAGACAATGCTTTTTGCGACAATTTGTCAGGATCGGTCAGTTCTGTGCTTTTTATTACCTCAGGAGACGAAATTGAATTTTGACGCACAGTGGTGAATAGTCCAACGTCATTATTATTCGCCTTTTCCTCAATCTCCATAGCCTCTTCAGTCGTGGATTTTTCCAAAACCACATACATTAGCACGATTCCTTCTTTAAAGTAGTTAATGCTTGCCCCAAGATCCTTCCAAGCTATGGAATCCAACTTTGAGTTGACGGCATCGATTTCTCGCACAATCCAATCACGAAACTTTTCATCCGTCACATCTCCATCCTTAAGCTTCTCTGCCAACAGATCACGGCCTTTACTTATAAGAAAGCCAATAGTGGCCTTAAAAACACTATTCAATATTATTCCTGCCATTTCCTCTTCAGAAACTATTGAAGTCTGTACAAAGCGATTGAAATTTCCGTTTGCACAAGCAGATACTGGAACAGCTAATCACAAGACCTACGGCATCAATCTAAAATAATTCCCCTATTGTATCGTCGCTTGTTTTATCGATGATTTGGGTTTCAAATGCGACTTGCTGAAAATGCACATATTTGTTTAGTAAGGTCATGAAACTCCCATTCTTGACTTCTGCAACATGCCCGTGCAGATAGCGATTGGTTCAAGTGGACGAGAAAAGCTACTTTTCAGAAAAAATACCACAAACTTGAGTCTCCCATGAATTCTAAGTTACATTAGATTATTTTGTTTTTCGGTGTGATTCTTTATTCGGTTTGCTGGGGGTGATTTCTAAGTTTGGTGGAAAAAAAAGGAACAAACAGACGCGTGACTGTACCACATGGTTGTGACTCGCCAATATATTGTGACTCGCAATTATTGCACGTAAACAGGGATTAAATAGTCAGTCTGAGACTGCATGTGACTACTGATAGAGCACATTTTTTTATGGCTCAAGCCAGAAATGAAGGTCTTATAATGACGCTAGAAGGTAGTTTTGTGGGAGATTTGTATTCACATGCAAAACAGAAAACCTGTTAGATCCCACATATCTATGAGTACCTGTTCCACATGAGAAAGATGATTCAAGAACCATGCAAAGTGCCTAAATGGCATTTAACCAATAATTAAATGGCCAAAATTGATCATGCATGTTAACAATAATCATGATAACAATAGAAATACAATAAAATTTTAAAGAGTTAGTTCGAAAGCTTTACGGTTCCCTTATCCTCAAAGCTCTAATAAAAATTAAGCTGTGCTTCTTTTTATTTTACCAGCTGTTAATTTTGATCAATTTTCTTATTTTATTACAATTCCATTTTTGCAAGATTGTTGTTTCACACACGCCTTTGTGCGTGTTAGGATATTCCGTCATTAAATGTCACATCAAGGACTGAAAAATTGGACTTTTTTTAGGTACAAAACAGTTTGCTTCAGAGGCATTCTTCTTTCTTTTGTGTACGCACTCAATAATCTCCAGTGCGAATGTCAAAGGAAAACAATCCAGAACAAAAAGTAAGTGACATCGGGTCAAAATCAGGTGAAGTTCGGCGCTCAATTGTTATCTCGCCTCCAACAGGAGATAGTAGCCATAACAAATATGGGGAACTAACCGACTGACAGGTCCTCTAAATAAACAGGAGTAAAGACAATGAAAACTCGGACTTCGTCATAATAACGTCAATAAATGACCCGGTTTATTTGTTGGCAACGTTTTCCAAGTTTAGAAGACGGTCATTGGCGATTTTCTCTAATGAGGGGTGATTTTCGATTCTACAATTGATCACCGATAGAGGATAAAGAGAACTGACATTCATGCTTAAAAACACGAGTGCCTCAAGCTGCTCTGAGATCGATGTCTTAGCTTACTTTGTTTCACCGGGTGTGAAAACTGGATCAACAGCTGACAAACGTTCGAGCTTAAGAGTGTGCAAATCGCTTACTGATGCCTGCACCATCTGATTTTCCTCAAGAAGCCATTGCCTAAAGGTATTTGCGAGAAAGACAGAGTTATGTGCAAACCACTCATTATACTAATTTTTGAAAGGAAACAAATTTTCTCACTCCAATGGAGGGAGAGAGTATTTCGGTTGGAATCCTTTTAGATAAAAATTTCTTAAATTTTTTCAAAAATTCTTAATTTAACCTAATTCTTGAAGCAAACAAGGTCATACAATGAGGCCTCATTTCTTTTATTGGGAGGCTATATGTCTGAACTCTTCGCATATCAGGTCCTGAAATTATAAAAACTGCATCCATTGCTGGTGATCTTACCTTTGACCCGTTGGCCGTCATGTTCAACTTGAAATCAAAGGGCGTTTCCCATCTATCAGGCCTGGCCGGTCAGACCGGTCAATTTCAACATGACTGGATGCTGACAAAGATTCCATTAGAACAATTGATAGAGCTTGGGAATTGACTGATCCGGTTAGAAAGTTTCGATAACCAACGGATTTCTCTCAATATTGAATGGAATGATCTGGTCAGCCGGTTTTACATTGGTAATTGTACGCGCGTATATATTGAGGGACAGAACTCCAAAAGAAGGTAACGGTATATTTCGAAACTTTACCACATTAAAGGCAGAATTCTAGGACATATTTTTTTATTCTCATACAAACGAAACTGGTCCTTTGAACTTCAAATTCAACAGCTTCCTTCAAGCCTTAGTAACTGTATTATATCGGCGTTAGCAGGTTATGACTTTTAACCGAAGCAGTTTTCGCAAAGCAAACAAGAAGATATGATAAAACCTTTTTCGAAAGCGCGCCATGAACATTGTCCTGTGAACAATGACTGTGAGACAAATAATCTATGGTGGAGTACTGGTGGGGAATTTTTCTCGATAATTTTCATCTTTCACTTTCTGACATATCTCCTGATGTAGCGGCATTGCTCTAGACCAGCCCACAGTTCTTCATTTTCCATCTTGTTCTTCGTTTTCAGACTTATTACGCTTTTTTCTTTGAAAGTTTTTTCCTTTAGCGAGTGCAATGGTGGTAAGCTAGCAGGAGGGAGAATTTTAGACAACAGCCTCTCGCGCGCTATATCTTGGCTTTCCATAACGCTTGTTGACTTTTCGTGAAAGAGACTCTTCTTTGCCGAGGCTGCTAGGGAAGTTGACTGTGTTGAGGTGAGCTGATCGCTGTTACTGACTTTGGCACCAAGAAAATGTACGTATGGCGTCTCTCGGCTTGCACAAATTCGGCTTTCGGTTTTGAGATTTCCTTCGATTGCCAAAATTCTTCTGACACGAGAAAAACCGCTGTTAGAAACAGAGGAAATGTTATTGTAATCGACACCAACTTTCTGAGAATATTTTCTTTTGTTATTAGGAATATTTTTCTCAGGGATTAGCCTCTGTGAGTCAAAATTTCTTGAGATTGAACACAAGAGCTCCTGTGAAGTTGCCCAGCCGTGAACCACTTTGTAACGTTCTTGTCCATCAACTGTCCTCGCAGAATGAATTTTTTGAGATGAGAAGAAATATGTGAACAGACGGAAAATGGTGTCTTTTTGTTGTTTCAGAAGCTTCTTTTTTTCAGCTGTTCCTTGTTTATCTATTTGCTTCTTTACTTCTTTAAGTCGCCTTTCTTCATGAGCGTTTAGCATCGTGATTCTCTTCGCTTGAAAGCCGTCCAAAGTGAACGGTATTTCCCCAAACTGACTCTCCGCTCTGATCTTTGCAGCGCACCGTTGCGTCATTTGTCTTAAGAATAAAAGAGGACTCTCTGATTATAAGCGATGAGTGACTAACCAATGAACGCCGGTTCTGGATAAAATGAATTTGCCTCATCGAGGATCGACGTACCTACACTGATTTCAAGAAATGAACTGAACTTATTTATTGATTGGCAAAATAATTTCTGATTGGCAAAAACAATTGTTCGTACACTGAGAACTGTGACCCCTGTGACTTCGCGGAGAACCTCCGGCACCATGGCGGAAACCATAATTTTAAACGTATTAGTTACCAAAGTGTAATTATCTCATCCAAACCAGTTGGGTTAGCTCTGAACGCAATTTGATCCAAAATTTCAGCCATCTTAGCTGCATAGTTTTTTTTGTATTGCAGAGGGAGACTCCAAGATTATGCACTCGATCATATTTGAGCGTGCGTCGCTTCTATATAATACCCTGGTACTAAAAGCTGTTCACTATTCTATTGTTATCTGAAAAATTACAGGAAATTAAAATTTAGTTCAGGGGAAGTTGGGTAGCGACAACAAGTCCTGAGCGGCACATCTGGAAAGATGTGCTGATGATAAAAACTGTGGAGATATGCGGTATCTTTTTCATATCTTAATTTTGTTACATTGTGTAGAAATGGGAGAGGTAAAAAGGGAAGTAGGCCAATTTTTCGTCTGTATAAAAGGCACACAATGCACTTTTGAAGGCCCACTTGACGAAGAGTCACGAACACTAGCGTGACAATCCATTTGACGTGACGTACATTCTTCTCGAGAAGGTCTGGAGTCAAATTAGCTGTTACAAGATGGCGGCTGCCTCTCTATTATTCTGTCGTTCGTCAAGACACCTTTCGTCGAGGATTAGAGAGTTTTGCTCAAAAGTTAGTACTCTAAAAAAAAGAACGAAAAAAACTTTTATTCGATAAAAATGTGCTTAATGTGTTTCCTGGTTGCATTTCAGGCCGTCATTGATCGTGGGGTCGTACTTGGCGTGTTCGAGGTGGACAGCGGTCATGAAAAGAAATCTGATGAGGTCGATGTAGAAAATTTCTTCACCGAAGCAGCTAAAAACTTTAACTCAAGAACTTCAGGAAAGCTCACGGAGATGATCAAATTGTGAGAAATACCTTTTTAACTTTGCTTGAAACATTTTGTTTAGTTTTTTTTTTAAACTTGTCAATAACTTTGTCATTTCGTGACAGTTGGTGTTGTGTGACAATATTGTATCTAAGTAATGTTCATAGGCACATATCAGAAAGAGAAGGTCTTAACGGTAGTTTGACTGTCACTGAAGGCGCTTAACCAAGCACTCACTATATTTTGAAGGACTTACAGGTCTCACAGGGATACCACTAGTATAGAAACTGGGACAGAACACAAGTGGAGAACATGAGCCCCTAACAATTCTATTGTAAGGGAAAACTACTAAGAAATGATATAGGAATTTATTGAATGTGTTACGTTGATACCAATAGGTCTGGATTTAAGGGAAAAATTGGCAAATCAAAGACATACTTTGGCATTGATAAGGTGCGTATTCTTTAAAATGTACTTAGTTTTTTTTTTTAAATTTCTAAATTTTACAACAGACATTGATAAATTATTGTAATTTTGTCCATTTTTTGAAACATAGTATATTTACTGCTTGCAAAGGACATTTTATGATTTAATATTTTTTGATGTGTTAAGGTAACAATAAATTTGTGATAGTGACCATGATTTGTTTAACTGTTTCAAACTTAATTGAGGACACTTTTAGTCCATGAGATTTTTAAGGCTGAATTCAATATTTTTTTGGTAAGGAGAACCTTTTTATTTTTAAATGAGAAATTGTTTAATTTTCATGTTGGAAGTGTGAGTAGTATTTCTGTTGATGGAGTAGAAGGTGATCTCAGCACTCTGTGCTTTGAAATGAGTCATAAAATATTGCCTTTAATTGTAAATATTTATCTGAGGTAAATATCATTTTATGTCCACTTGTGGATACAAATGTGTCCTCTGGTGTTGATTTTGTCTCTCAAGAGTTAACACAGGGAACAAGTGAAAGATTATTATATCAAGGGGACAGCTTTTAATTAGCAGACAGTCTTGTCAGCAAGCTTCAGTCTTTTTCTCTCTTATTCTCTTTCAGGATTACCCTTGTGTTGTTGTTGTTGGTCTGGGTAAAAAGGATATTCAGTCTGATTCAGAGACAAGTGAAGAAAAGGAATCTTGCAGCAACTACAGACAGGCTTCAGGGGGTGAGCTTTCTGTTATTACATGTATGGTAGCACTTGAAACCAAAACATTTCACTGTAAATCATTTAACACTCCAATAAAATTTGCTTTCTTCCAAACATGAGGATCTTTGAAGCCCAATTGATAGTCAGCACCTAACTAGTACCTAGAGGTAACATGTGCAAACTAAGTCATCACGCCTTGGATTTTTCAGAATTTCTGAATTTTTTTTTCATAAATAAGGTAATTTCAGTTCACTTGAGAAGGTCATTTTGTCATTTGTAATCAACCACAAGTCTTAATCCAATTACTTGTAAGCATAGAACACCCGCAATCAGTAAGCAGTTATTTGATGAGAGGGGAAGGGAGGGGTGGTCTATAATGGTACATAATGTATACGTGTTCAACTTGGTGTTTTTTATAAGTCAAAATAAAAGTAAAGGGAACCAAAATGTGTCTTATTCAGTGGATATGTCTCAGATTCATTGTGCAGTGTTGGACATGTACCCACATAGCTTTGTGGAAAATTCTTTTGAAATGACTTTTCAATGGTACCATTTTGTCGCAGTTGGTGTTAAGGTTCTAAGAGACTGTGGAGTGCAGACAGCAGAAGTAGATACGTTTTCAGACCCTCAAGGTAAGAAAAGTATATTTGATATGGATAGCAGTTTATGAAAGTGCCAGAATGATGTATTTTGTCTTAATGCATAAACCTTTCCATGATTGAAACAATGCAAACATCATATTCTTGTACCTATTATTTCAGCTGCAGCCGAGGGAGCAAATTTAGCTCTTTTCAGTTATGACACATTGAAATCTTCGAAGAAGTTGGAAGTGGATCTCCAGCCCCATAAGCATGTGACAGAAAGTGATTTGAAGAGGTAAATACCCTCATCTAATAAATAAATTGATAATTATAATATGAAATTGAAGTTTGTAAATTGTTTCAAAGGTGACATGGTTTTTATGAGTATAAAAACTTATTTTATTGGTGATGTTCTTGTATTATTATCCTAGATTTTTCCTGTCTACCCTAAGAAAGTGTGTCATGTAAAAGAGCTAACCTTGTGCAGCTACTGAATATACGTTAACCCTCTGATCCCTGAGGGTGACTAGCATCTAATTTCTCCTCACAATATCATCCCCAAATGATAAAATAAGGTCACAAGAATAAAGGTTCGACCACCACTGAAAGAAGCTTCAGTGGTGGTAAAAAATTTTCCTTCTCAGTACCTCTGGAAATGCATATAGAATAATATGGAGAACATGCACACTGATGTTAGGGTGTAAATGGTGAAAAATGCTGTAAATAACGAATTGAAGTAGTATGTATCTGGCATTTGTGTTACATACGACCTATTTTTTGTTGTGATTTACCAAATGTAATCAATTTTTTGGTTTCTTAATGTGTATTGTTCATATTACTGCAGCCAAGAGGAGGAAATAAATTTCAATGCCTGGCATAAACTTTGGCAGGATGGGTTACTGTTATCTGGAGCACAAAATTTTGCCAGAGAGCTGATGGAAACACCATCCAACCTTTTGACACCAACAGTCTTTGCTGATACGCTTATCAACAGGTTTTCAGATCTAGAAAGTGTGGAAGTGTTGGCAAGGTATTTAATACACATTTCTCTGTTGCTAAATTCATGTATTTCATTAATATGTATTTACATTTTTAACAGTAGTACAGACAATAGTCTGTGTGACCTTCAATATGTGCATAGTCAACAATAACTTGCATAACTGTCCAAGCATTATGTATTACATATGTATATCAGGGTTTTGTACATGTCAAACAGGCTGGGAATATGCTTTCACTCTTCCCAAGTGGGATTCCAGTCCACAGAAGGTTAACCTGGCATTTTTTAAGGTTTCCTGAAATAGTTCATAGTTACTGATATAAACTCCTGGATGTACATTTAGAGAGCTTATTCAGAATTAAGTATGAACGTAAGTCTAATCCAGTAACTGCATGGCTCCTATTTAGTGAATGATAGACATTGCTTGGTGGAGAAATGAATTTTAATTGAATGTTAATTTATGGTGGAGTTCTAATCCCATAATACTACTTAACAATAGCACAAGGACTGATAAGTATTGCTTGTTTATTCCAGAAGTTGGTTTTACCAAGTATCTTTGTTCCCTAGGGACCAAAATTGGGCAGAAGAACACAAGATGGGTGCATTCCTGAGTGTTGGCAAGGGCTCAAGTGAACCAAGTGTTTTCTTAGAAATGAAGTATTCTGGTGCCAAGGAATCTGATTCACCCCCTTTAATTCTTGTTGGGAAAGGTGACTGTTTATTTGATTTTTCAGGAATCAGCATGACATTCATACATTCCTGAACAGAACTCTTCCTGGCAAATAATTGTTTTGTTCAATGGCAATCTTTTCAACCTGGAAAGGTTCAGATAAAAATATTTTTCTCATTCTTGAAATGGGATAAAAAAAGTACCGTATTTATTCGCCTATAAGCCGATCTCGGCTATAAGCCGAGACCCTAAACTTTTTCATGTCAGCAGCTGTTGCATTGAAATAAAAAATAAACACAAAACATTCGGCTGAGACCTTTTGCAAAAGTACTCCACGAACTGAGATGAATTAACATAAACCGAAAACAAAAGGAGCTTCCCTCTCGGGAAACATGCAACCAAAAAGTAGGTTATGAATAATTTAATGTGATCCGCGCTTACATGCTTAAAGTAAATAAATAGAACCATGCGTGCGTAACTTTAAAAAAATGGGATTTAGCAGTGGACATTTCATGAGGTGGCTCTTCTTATCCACTGGTTCTAGGTCAATTTGGAATTTAGAAGGTTGGTTTTCATGCATATATAAAACGAAGGTATTAGGGAAATTTTGCTTTCTTTCTTTTTACTTGTTGATTTGCTGGTGGGTGGATGGGGAAAGGGACTAATGGACTGACTTACCAGTTGATTTTAATTAAAATAAAGGGTTTGCTCTTGAAAAAATATAGAATTATTTTTGTTTTCTGGCCAGTTGATATTCCTTTTCTCTTCTTACAGGTGTGACATTTGACAGGTGTGTAAATGTTCTTTGAGTTGATCAACAAAAGTGTACAATACTTGAGTTTAAGTTAAGTCACAAATGTCTTGGATATTACTAACACCACATGTTGTTGCTTTGACTTTCCTTTTCATAGGGTTTGTTTGAGAAGGGATCAGTGTTATTTATGTCTGTGTTGGCTGCACTTTTGTTTTAATTTTTTTTTCATTTCTTTTGTTAGTGGTGGTATCAGTATCAAGCCAGCTGCTGGAATGGGGCTCATGAAAGCTGATATGGGTGGAGCTGCCACTGTTAGTGCAGCATTTGAAGCCATAGCAAGGCTAAAAGTGCCAATCAATGTCACAGCTCTTGTTCCTTTGTGTGAAAATATGCCATCAGGATGTGCTAACAAACCAGGAGATGTCATCACCGCAATGAGTGGGAAGACTATTGAGGTAACTCAATGAAATGGTCTGGGTATATTTACAGGTCCTCCATATAAATTCAAACGTTGGTTTGTAATGAAATTGTCATACCTACGATCTAACCTTGTTTTGGGACACAACACCCCAACTACCCTTACTTTCTTATCACACATTTAAAGACTAACCCATCGAAATAAAATGAGAGAGGTTTTGGGATCAGAAGAGTCACATTTGTGTGCGTGGAAGGGGCGGTCTAAGATGTCATACCATATAAAACTAAGAACAACGCAAATCTCGCCCGACGTCGAGGTAATCTAGTGCGTTATCACGCCCAAAAACCATGGGGTTATGTGAGTATGCCAAAAAAGCCTCAGAATCAACAGAAAAAACGACGAAGGACCGTGCTGAAGAGAGAAGTGAGGCAGGGAAAACGTATCTTTTCTTTTGCCAAAGGAAAGTTGTAAAAAATCGGTAGAATGTTGAGCAAAAATTGGGAAGCTGGAAACAAGACGTTTCCGACTAAAACGGGAGAGTTGGAATCTCTGTAAGTAACGGAGTTCTTTCAGAGCAGTTAACAGAATGTTGGGCGCGGGATGTAGTTCAAGGATACTGAAGGTTTTTTTCTAACTTAAGTTTCGCACATCATGACTTATAGCCAACTTTTTTCATTAAATGCGCGCGTGGGGTCGTGTGGGTTAGTAGGTGCGTGCGCTATAATTGGTCAATTTAGCGGCCCGTATTTCCCTGTATTTCCGAAGTTTTTGGAATCGAAACTCTACCCAGATATAAAAGAAATATCTAACTTACCTCGTCTTCTCGGTCCGTAACGTACAATACCGACCTTGAATTCGCTTAGTAAGAGGTATGTCACCCATTCTTTCGAAGGTTGACAATACTGATGCAGAAGGAAGACTCATTCTTGCCGATGCTCTTTGTTACGCCAGCAAATTCAACCCTCGTGCAGTTATTGATGTGGCTACACTTACTGGTAACTGTCTCGGTCATACTAAGTTTTGTGTCTGTATTATTTCAACAAGGGATTTTATAGAACAGATAAAGATGCGACTCATCTATATGTACTCAACATCCTATGTCGCTTCAGTCAAATTCTTTGATTTACAATGATATCTCTTTTCCTTTGACCATTTTGGAACCATATAGGAAGTATTGTTGTATAGGTTCATGTAACCAAAATTTGATATAATCACCTACGCTTCAGTACGTTCAGTTCTAACACAGTTTTTTACAGGTGCGATGGATATCGCCTTAGGACAAGGAGCTACAGGTGTGTTTACAAACTCTGCAACATTGTGGCACTGCATTTTTCAGGTAAGAAATTCCGATACTAACATAGCAGCCTTCTTAAGTTTTTGGGAATTCAGTCGAAAACTCTGTTTTTTTTATGCATTCATCACTTTCACGTTAGAAGTAAAAAATTCCTAACGTTATCCTACTGGTCAGGCTAAAATCAGACTAAATTTAATCGATGGTGTCTTTGGGCGGGGGTGTTAACGGTTTCATTGTAACAAAACAAAGCAGGGCATTCCCTACTCCTCTGAAATGCGCATACACTACAGCCTTTCCTTTAGAATTTCTAAGCTCATTAAATACCTTTTAAAGTTTGTCTGTCAGGAAGCCTGGCTAAACCAGTGTTTGTTTAATTGTACATTCAGGCTGGGTTCGATTGCGGGGAGCGAATGTGGCGCATGCCATTATACAAACACTACACCGAACAGATACAGTCTGATGTGGCTGATTTAAGAAACACTGGAAAAAAGAGGTAAGATGGAAGAATTGAAGATGGGTGGGAATTGGGAGAAGAATGGAAGAAAATGGGTGATGGAAGATGACTCTAGAAATATAAGGAGTGGTTGGATTATTAGAAACGAAGGGAGCTGTTGCATTCTACAAAGAAACGCCGTCAATAAGAAGGATATGACAAGAACTCGATTACATAGTTTAATAAAGAGAAAGGAAATTCCGAGCAATCTGTAGCATTATATTTGCTGCCTCTCATTTCAGAAGCAATAGTGCTTGAACCATCACTCAGTAGAACAGTTTGTATTTATTTCATAGTGAGACCGAAAATGTTACTAAGCGCGTTCTCCACGCCTCCACGACTGATATTTTAACTAAGTTTAGTTAAATAAGTGTGTGTTATTTGACCAAACGTGAGATCAAGATGGGTAAACATTGGCCGAGTTCTTTTTTCGCGGGTGATCCAGTACCCTCTCGCCCGCTCGGGTAGCCAATCAGAATGCTTCATATTGCCCACGGGCGCTGCCAGCTGTATAATAACCATTTTTTTTGTTTTTTTTGTTAGGTCAGCTGGATCGTGTACTGCAGCAGTTTTCCTCAAGGTAATTGTGAATCACGGTTCAAGTGAACCTCTCTGGGCAGAGGAGATAATTAAGGGAAATTTGTGTTGAGAATTTGACTTTGAATACAAGGTTATCTGAACGCTGTAATTTTTTTTGTAGGAGTTTGTTGACGCTAAACATTGGGCTCATTTTGACATCGCCGGTGTGATGGACAACAGTTCGAATGTTATCCCTTATCTCAACAAAGGCATGTCAGGTAAGGTGATACCGGAAACATTGACGTCATTGAGCAGGGAGAATATTGCGTACATTGCGTACTATTTCACCTAGATAGGAAAGGATAATTCATGAGGTTTATGAGACCCTTCGGGTCCTGGGCATTAGACCCCAGCGAGGGCCCCAAAGCATTAATGCGCCCGTTATCAAAACCGGTAATTTAGTCAGTAACTTTTCTTGTCTTCTCTTGTCGATGAAGAGTTAAAAGGTAGATTTTAGAGAAGTCCATACTCTTATCTTATCACATTACACGATATCACATTCTTTACTTAACTTAATTTCTTTTAGGTCGACCAACAAGAGCCCTTGTGGAAATTGCTAGAAAACTCGCAGTCAACAACTTGGATTAAAAGGCTGAATTCGACCTGAAGAGAGCATGTCACATTACTGAATATGTTTTCGTGAGAGAGTTTGGCAGAATAAGGAAAATAGAACGTTCACCCGTGATTTTACACCACTCTTCTTAGTAGCACGGAACAAAGAGGTTCACGGTTGCACAAGTCAAATCCTGTGGGAGAAAAATACTTTTGGAAGTTTTTATTTTATTGTTCCGTGAACAAATTTGGCCGCGAATCACTCGGGTGTAAATGTTCATGGTGGTATCTTTTAAATCCTAAAGATTGCCACCACCCGGGTTTGAACTATAACACAAAACCCAACATGCTTCATTAAAGAACACAACAATTACCAACAAAACATTTTATTAACTTCGAAGAAGACTTTGATTATAGGCTTTGAATCTAATATGTCTTTAGCACAGCAGTTGCGCCGCAAAGTAATATGAAACTGAACATCTAAGTAAATAATAACGGAGGAGTAGACTTAGGATAATAATGAATTATTATTTAAAATAATGTAAACTTAATAATTAAATACTTTTTTTCAAACCTGATAATAACATATATTTTTTTCTGAAGCATCAATCATTAGATCAAGATTTTCCTCTTGAAAATAAGTCGGAGCTTTATTGAGAGATTAACAAGAACGGTGATATTGTTACCTTTTCTTCCAATAACCTTGGGCAACTTCTTCTCACGGTTACTAAAATATTCAAGTTGACTCTCTTGCAGGTGCCTTTTCGTGCAAACATGGCCTCTCTGGAGAGAAAAGACCTTTCTATGAACGGGGTCAACTATTCAATACCCTAGAGGCTCTGATACCCTGTTATGATTAAGTACCCAGAGACTCTAGCACCCTTTTCTATTCATTACCTTAGGGTACCCTACTTAAGTGGTTGGAACACGCTAATCGTCTATCACAACAGCTAGGACTATTTAGTCATCGTCGTGTTCATCTCTCTCAGTTACCAAGGGAGTCATAAAGAACTGGGCCATGAATCTGCCTGAGTCACGCAATCCTTCATATATGTCGTCACGCCCCAGTCCAATCCGTGGTTTGACCTTAACGCCGTCGATATAAAGTCTCTTGGCGCTGACAGTAACGTAAGGCGGACCGTTTTGTAAGCGTCCTTCAAATGTGATCTGGGAAAGAAAATACAGAACAAGGACACAGTGATGTATCACTGCTGTAATAGGGGGGTGGGGGGGGGAGGTGCACAGGAGAGGCAAGTTTGCAGGCTTTTACAGTACATCGGTTTTATCTCGAACTTCCTAAGGACAGCTAAAATGGTCCTCGATAACAAGGGCAAGACAATAGTAATATAGTTATGGAGGTCCGCGCCTAGACACGCGTTCATAGTTCGACATACCTGGATGCTGGACTGCACTGCCAATAATTTGCAAGCAAAGCGACAATGCTACAGAATTCAGATCATCTGGGGCCATGATAGCCATGAGCTCATCAGTTTCAGTAACGTCAAATGTTACCCTCGTTAAATTTAGTCTACAACCACTCCTAAACTGAACTTAATTTGTCAAACTTTCAGAGTGAGAGCTCTATAGTAGAAAGGAACTAAGGACTCTGAAAGGAAAAAAAGACAATTTGAACGTCGTTGTTATACCTGTGTGTATTTTTGTAAAGTGACCATGGAATGATAGAAGCGATGCTTCACTGTAACTTGAATCACTTCACTGCTGTGTGACTTGGAATCCGTCATGTTCACCCCAACAGAAAACGTGTACCTGTCAAAAGTTTTAAGGTGGCACGGTCCTCTCACCCTTGGGAGCCATGAGCTTTTCTGAGGAGAACTAAGGACAAAATGAAAAAAGAGAAAAACGTTGAAATTTTTGAGTGAATGCATGGGGAAAAATATATAATCTGAGGAGTCAGTTTTGATTTTGCGGTTGGATGCAATCAGTTTGGCTAGAGAGAGCTAGCTGGGGAGTTAGAAACACAAGAAACTTCTTCCAGAGCGCAACTGAACTTTTGAGAAATTAACGCAATGTTTTCACAGCAGTTTCGCATCTGGGGGGGGATTAACAAGTCTAACCTGACAATATTGTCATCTTCTTCTCCTCCAAGGAGGCACTTGAAAGTCGGCCGCAAAAACACAGGCAGGAATGCTAACAGGCGTCTGAAACGATTTTCCAGTGAGGTTACCTTGACATAAGCCACAGTTCCAGTCCAGTTCACGGACTCACCCTGAAATTCAGAGCACTGTATCTGTACTGATGCCATGTTCACATTTTCACTTTCCCTGGCCTCCAATCCACAAGTTTTGGAATACTCTGCCCAAGTCAAGGGCTTTGGGGAGCCATATAGAGAAGGGACAAAATTGACAAAAACAATAGGGACCAAAAGGCAAAACACCGCTAGGCCCGCCACGATCATTAGCAGTTTCTTCTTGCGCTGGAGTTTGCCCGAATAGGGAATTTCCATTTTGGAGTAATAGAAGAACACTGATGTAACTGCGAGGATGATTGCAGTAACAGCAAGTTTCAGAGCGATGTCAAGAGTCATAAACCACTTCAAGAAATAAGTGATTGTAAGACCAACGGTGAATAGGAACAGAAAGGGTAGCATGGTGACAAAAATGACCCACCCCACCGTGGCACGAAGCAGGCTCGCCCATGAGGTGAAATGGAATAATTCCGTAAACAGCTGACACCAGAGTAGGCACACTGCGTGTGGGACAAGTACTTTATATATGCCTCGCCAAGAGTGACGACCCGCCATGATGATGAGTAAAACAAGGATGATCACGTGAAGTAGGGAGGGGAGGCTGATTGCTAATTCCAACCCATAGGGAAGTGGCACTACACAGAAAAACGGAAAAAGCAAAAAGTTAAAACCAACACACTTTATTCTTAAGTAACACTGAGCGGCAAGTGATACTTACCCCTAGAGATAGGATAGCACAGGACACCCAAGACTCTTACATTCTCCATGCTTCGTAACCCAGTTGTCATTAGTTTAAGGAGAATAGTGTACAATGCATAGTCATCATATTTGTCAGGCAAACCTCTGAAAGATGAAACTAGTTCAAATACAAGCACAGTTAGAAAAGGATAAAACTACTAACAACTTGCTTCAAATCCCACAATATTCCAACAACTACTGTCAGTTTAACATTTTATCATTGAGACAATCAAATACATGCACTAATCTTTTGATTATGGGGTCATCATTTTTCTACTTAAGCAAATGAATGACTGTCCCAAATTACTATCTGCAACCAATCAGAGGATGGGAAATTTGCATTGTTTAAAGAACTCAAGCTTCAAACTTCATTGCTGATAAAGTGCAGACTGAAGCACCTCAAAATCCAAGCGGGCTAGGGGAGGAGATAGAAGGATATGTACTCCCTGAAAACTTTGCAGGGAATTTTTATCCTAATTGACAACAAAATATTAAATTTTTTTTTCACTTCCATTTCAGACCTGACCCAAAAATTATTACTAGCACTATTTCAAGATTTTTTGGAACAGCTATGATGGAAGAAGGGCCTAATAAACTTACACTATGGAAAAATATTTATAATTTCTTTTAACTAAATTTTATTATTTTAAGACAAATAAACTAGATGAGCATGCAATCTCAGAATGTAAATGACTACAGTTAAAATCAATACAATGAATTATTATCAGGAAAAAAAAACAGCTCCATACAAGTAGGATCAGCCATACCCTCTAGTAAGCTACATATCTACCTAAATCTTGGACAAAATTTGTAAGAGAATTCACATAAATTCCATATTTGAGTATAACAATAAAAACAGGGTCATGTTCACCTGTAAACAAGAGAGCCACCAAAGACATTTCAGAACATGGAATCCATTGCTTGTCACAAAGTGGAAGAACTGCTACTGTTATCAGCAAAACAATGAAAAAATACACATACGGAGCTGAAGATTTCCACATAAATGTCCTTTCTGTCTCTTGTGCATCAAGTCTTGGATCAAATCTAGACAAAATTATGAAATTAAATAAAATTATTATTGCATAACAGAATCATGTGGTTACTTCATTTACATTAAAATAAATGGTAGATGGAGCTGTTAGTAGAAAATAACAACTATATCATGTCATGCAATATTGATTTTTACAATTACATTAAATGGATCTTAATATCATTATACCATAGGCATTTTTTTTAACATCACAATAATAACATGCAGTTACAACATACAGCCCAGCCAGCTCATCAATAAGTTCTTTAGAGCTAAGTATTAGGTAGAACATTAGACCATGGGATTAGAATCAGCAGGGGTGTGAGTTCTTTCTTACAGGAGCCATTAATTTCTTTTGGTCCCCTTTGTTACTTTTTTCTTCAACAATACAAATCAAAACAACCTCCAAGGCTGGCTGAAAAAAAAAAAAAAAGACGGCTGAGAGAATCACTTACTTTTTCATGAGCTCTGCAACACTCCGTAGCTGCCGCAGAGCTTCTCTACCATAAAACATTTGAAGTGAGAACACCACCAGAGATATGAATGCAATATAGAACACAACCAGTGGGACAAGAAACCACAGAAAATCTCCAGTAAGATGGCTGTAGATGTACAGAAGGAACAGCATGTGTATTTGAGATGTTGGAATCAAGGACTTCAAAAAACTTGATCCTTCCTTTGAAATCTTCACAAGAAAGAAATGTTTGGCATATTCGAGGGATTGCTGTGGAAACTGCACGACCTAGATAAGGGTGAGAAACTGACATTCAAAATAGAGCAGAAAATGATACAACACTTACCTGATAATTATCACTATCCATTCTCCTAACAAAGTCCATACAAGCTGTTACAAAGTGTGCTTATAGCAACTCTGTTTTGAGTTTTTTAAGTTGTAAGTGTTACAAAGAGAAGTATGCTCCAGAAAATGTATAATTTCTACTTCTGTTATTCAAAAGTTATACATTTACCAATAAAATTGTAAGAATTAAAGACTAGGAAGATTCTAAATTTAATTACAGACCCCCACTGTTAAGAATCTTGCCAAGCAACCTGACTAGATACGAAGTCTTGACCTATCTCATCTACTTGTCATCTGTTTGAACAACAAAGGTTACAAAAGGGGTATTTAAACATCCTCTGACATCACCAAAGTTCTGCTGAGGGAGGTAACCATTAGCATGCCAGTCCACCTACTGTTGGTTAAAACTTACCTTGCCTTTCTGAACAAAATATGAGATAATATATCACAATATGTATACTACACTTCTAACAATGTTGATACTGGTAGTGTGTAGGGTGTTTTTATCATGTATGAACCTGGTACTATCTTGTAGTCACCATTAACTCCACCGGCAAGGCCTCTCTATTGCTTCACAGTAAAGCCTAGGATTACAATAACTCAGGGTCTGAGGGTTAAATTAAATACTCACCCTGGGCCTGAGATGTCTTCTTTGTGATAAATGAATAACACTTAATAAAATAAGAGCCTGAGATGACAAAAACCCCAAAAGTTACTAATCAATAATATAAGACAGTCACCACTGGACTTGTAGAAATGACTTTTAAATGCTAGGTGTGCTACATACCTTTTCTAGTACAGAAGCTTTTTGAAATTTCTCCATGTCCTCTTTACTGAGCAGGGTAACAACTTCTGGTACTTCACCCCTAGCATATGCCAAAGCTGTATCCTTCATCTCACTCAGAGTGAATTCATTCTGTCCACCAACTGTCAAAGCATTCATCAACAAGCTCATGAGGCTTAAATCTTGTTTTATCTCTTCCTGGTCTTTCTCTAAATCTTCAGTGGAGGTGGTTTCCTGACTTGCAGTCTCTTTTTCCTACAAAGTCCATGTATAATTACCAAAACCTATAAATGATTGATATTTTCTCACGATCATCCAGATATCCCAGCAAACCAACACAAACTTTTTGACCTGTTGTATTTTTCTAAACTAAGGAGTAGAGTTCAAATTCAAAATGGTTAATTTTGACAAATTATGAAAGCAGTAGACCCCCCAATATCCCAAGTGGGTTATTGCACTGTTTAACAGATAGAAAGTGGGGTCTATTGATTTTATAAAATAACTATGGCTTTTATACTAGTGCAAAAAACAATAGGTTTTTGACCAGTCAGGGTGGTTATAGTTTCTCAGTTGTGTTATAAAATGTAATAAACCTTTCATAACATGGATGGGTCAATCTGCCCAGGCAATGAAACAATTAATCTGCATAAATCAACTAATAGTACAAGGCACCTGGGTTGTATATAGGGGTCTGTGTTAGAGCAATATAATACAGTTACCAATCTTGTTGAATAAATTCCAAATAATTTAATGAAAATCACCTAATATTAATCAGTACCTTAAGTTTTGCCTCTGCTTCTTTCAGAGCCTCATCAATATCTTGAAGAGCAAGCTTGTCTTCATCATTCTTTTTCAAAGAATTATAAAGAACTTCTACAGCATATTGAAGTCTTTTGTCCTCCTCTTTTGTGTTGACACACCACACCACTTCATATTCATTTTCTGCATTGATTCCATCTCTGTCCTTTAGACATTTTGCTAAGATAGCTGTGGCTTTCTTGTCTCCTTGTTTGGAAATTCCAATTAAAATGTTAACTGCCTCTTCTTTTTTGTCCAGGGCTGATGATTTTAGCAGCTCTTCAGCCTGTGATATTTTTCCTTCCATGGTCAACAGTGTGAGATATAACTGGATTTCTGAACAAAATGCAGCTAAAATCCCTGAAACCTGTTGATCAAAATTCAAACCTGTAACCTAACTGACAGAACTTTTCTTAAAAACTATGTACTAGAGCATGAACAATAGATGAAAATTGATGATCAGAACCTCAATCAACAACAACTGAGTATAATTAGTTAATTGGCCTCGACTGACATCAGTCAATTGATGACCAATTAATAATCACACAGAAGTAGTCACAAACTTCATCAATTGACCATCACTGATAGCGTTCATGATAAATTCCCATCTTGTGAGTGTATGCAAAGTGAATATAGTTCTTCAGTGTTTGGTGGAAATGTTTGAGATGAGATAACCTTATTCATCATTATGGTTCCAGGACACAAACATGTCCAGGCACAGATAAACACACCAATTGCTATTGTATAAACCTAGAGTCAGAATTACTCAAGCCTTGTGCTTTACAGCTCCTAAGAGCTGCAGTTTTCCCCTTTCAGAACTTTCGGTGAAATATGAAGTACGTGTAGGTTACAACTAAAGTGCAAAACCTTTCAGGAAATGAAAATACATCTCAGCGAAAACATACAGGAAAATCTTTGCCACACCTAAACGTTTAGTGATATGGATATGACAAAAAACACTGCAATTGGCTCGCGACAAATACTGATAATTTAAATCTGTCACTTTGTCATTTAATCAGCCTATGTCACTGTGCTGGTATAGACAGAAAATACTCCACATGTTCACATAATGCATGTTGATGTCGCAGCTCAAATTCCTTTTCAGCCAAAATTTCTGTTCCAACAGTCAACATCTTCATCGCGTCTTTATCATTATTGTCCACCTTCTAGAACCACCACATAAACTTGCATCATTGAAGAACATTTTAAAAACAAATGTTCCAGCGAACGCATTCAACCTAGAGGTTGATGACTCCCCGGTGCATCTATGCGTCCCATGACGAATACGTGAGATCGAGCGGCTAGCTGTTTGTCTTGACAGAACTAACTCCTTTGTCCCCGTTCTTCTACATCAGTATCATTCATATTAGCAAAATTAAGAAATTCAGATGTCATAATCTTATGCAGAGGGCAATCAGTGGTTACAACGGTTTATGAACTCGTTTTCACTTACCCTCAGTTACTATACATAAACAACGATTCTGCCATGTTGCTTCTTAATTTCCAGCAATTTGGTTGTCACACCAGAGAGTATTGCGTGACAGACGGAATGGCTAGGCGCGATCTTGTTGACGTGTTGTTTGTAAATGGTGCCGTGGTGGAAGTTTGCTACGTGACGTCTAACAAGTGACAATTTACAAATGTGAGAAGATCCCTAGCCTGCAGACTTGGCATAAATTTTTGGCGCTTTCCAGGTTTAGAAGGCAAGCGCGAGTTACGCGCAAAAAATGCCACATTTACAAACACAGCACTCGTTCAGCACCTGAATCCTTCCCACCATCCAAACGGATGTTAGAATGACAGTCCCGAACCAGAATGGGGAAGAGAATTAGACATTGTAATTGAAGGTGACTGTTTGAAGTGTTTTATTTTCACGTAAAATGAATGAGTAGGCTCCTAGATAAAACAATGTACATCATCCCAACCCTTGAAAAACAGCAAGACAATGTCATCTCACTCACAAGCAACGTCTCACCAATCCCTTGAAAATTCAAACCAGATCCTCCTTTACCTCACAAAAAATGTCTTAATTCTGAAGAAAGCATTTTAGTATGATGGCTATATTATAATCCTGCAGAACTTTATTTATCTAACAATCCTATGAAAGTAAGCAGTCTTTTTAAAGATCACCATATTCCTACTGTGAAAAACACATGACTCTTCATCGATCAAAGTTACATTTTGTTACATTTTTTGACCAAGAAAAACATGAAAATGAAATCATAAAAATAATAAACTTATCGTTTATTTCAACAATGAATTAAGAGCACCATTGAATACAGTATTTGAGTTGTTTTTAACAAAAATAAATACATGTACAGATTTACCTCAATCAAGTAAAAACAAGCATGTGAACCAAAAAAATTGCCCACGCATACATGTGAACACTCCTTTTTTTGATATATCACTTTCTTCAGAAGTAACTTAACATACATTGTCTTTTGACAATACCTAGTAGATAAACATGCTTCTGAATTTCTTAGCTGATTTACTTTTAACATTTAGCATGGGTGTTTTCAGAGCATCTGGTTTCTAAGTGATGACCTTGAATGTAAATTGTGACAAATACAGATTTATTAAATTAAATATTATCCAAACAAGGAAAGGGATAACAATACTGATACACTGTCTGACTGGCATGTTCACACTTGCGAGCAATAATAATCAGGGCAGTTCTGTCCTATCACAGATGTGTGTTTGTGTCCTTATAAAAGGAAAATCATTGATGCAAAATAATTAACCCCAGGTAGAAATAGAGAATGTGTTTTGCAAAGCTGTTTTGGGTGTACAACTTTTAGATTATGTGCAGACTGGTATAATCATCACCATAGTACAGCCCTATCCATGAAGCATGCAATCATTAGTTAATGCCAATCATATACAAACATTAAACTGTTACAAGTATCACCTTTAAAATGTTATTTATCATAAGTAATGTACAGTAGAGTTCCATTATCTTACACTCCACATCTATCGGATTTCTACTGTTTAACCATATGCACAATAATGATCATTTACTAGATTTAAATCGCTCAGAGAATAAATTGCCTAGAGAAAAGTTGAGTGTAACTTGAAATTTTCAGTGCACCTAATTGAAAGTAAACTCATTTAATTAACATATTTAATGATCAAAAATCATAACATGATCATGATTTATTTCAATGTACAAAAAGCTAAATAAAATATTGCTATTGCATGCAAACATTGGCAAAGTTTGTAAAGATTTTAGCGACTATGCCCTAAAAAATAAAGGAACAGAAGTGATTTAGGTCCTTGACTGTATCTCAGCCTTCAAGATAATGCAATTTTTAACACCACCAGGATGTTGAGCTTTAGAAGATTCAAAGTGCAAGAAATCACACATTGCCTAATAGGTCACCTCTGATCTGATGAGCTGACAACCACAATTTCAATCTGTGGTAGACTGTTAAGGAATGATTCATAATAATCATGGTTTTCTTTGCAACAAATCTAGATCCTACAAGACCAGTTAATCAAAAGAAGTTTAGCTGTTGCTTGACAAAACCATCTCCTTAGCCATCTTCAATATAGCTAAACCTTTTACCTGAACATTTATTTTTGTTGCCAGTGTTAAAAGGGCCAAAAGCTTATAGTGAAAGGACATTTATACCACTGCAATGACACAGAGCCTAACTGACTAAAGGGGCTCATGTATGTATATTTATGTAAGTGTATAAATATATGTATATATATTTATAATACACCTGTTTTCGAAAATGTTGCAATTTGAAAAAATATGCGAAATATGTATACCTCTTGTTTTCTCATCAAAGAGTGTCTCTTTTGTCTTATTATGTCTTTTTCCTCCCACAATATATACATTGCTCTACTCCTATGTATTGAGCACTGTCTTGCGTAAGTCAAAATTACTCTTTATATATATATATATAATTATACACACACACACACATATACACATACACTCTTGCAAGTGTATAAGCAACATAAAACATATATTTAAGTTGAAGGATACAACTCGAAGTCCCCTGTCCATGGGGTTGGTGATCATTAGTCCCCTTGGAATAAACACACTTTGGTTCTGTTCATTTATGTAATCTGCGAGTCTCTTTAAACACTGGTAAGAAAGAAGAAAAGGTTTAAAGAATTATTCACAACCACGCAAAATAACTGCATGTACATATCAGTAAGTTTTACTTATCTCATATCAAGCAGTGAAAAATAAGTAGTAAAATTTGTAGGAAAAAAATAGTGCAAGTACTGTATTGCAAGTAATATAAATGGTATGTTGACTGTACTGAAAACTTTCTACTGTTACATTCTTTTTGCAAACACCCTCCCCTTTGAAACCATCATTAAAAAACCCAGATTTATTTTGAGGTATATGGTGTCTTACCTTATTGTATTGAGTTTGTATGCACATGAAAATAAGATAAGCAGTAACACAACCCAAACATCCCTCCAGGTAGGTTCTAGGTCCAACTTTTTCAGCTTCATCAAAGATTTCATTGATGTGGTTGACTGTTTGCTCAAACTGACTCCGCTCAAGCTAAAAAAAAAAAAAAAAGCCTTCATATCTGGAAAATACTTGTGTATGACTATATTTCCCATCTGCTAATTTGTCAAGCTACATGTATACTGATCCCAAGTGACAATTAGCTAACAATTAGCTTTGTCATTGTTCTTGGCATGTTTGAAACTCTTAGATTAAATGTATTGAAAATCCAAACAAATGTCATCAAGGGCATTCTAAAATTATACACACATGCTACGACTTGATTGAACTGCTTGATACAAAAAACAAGTTGATGGCCCAGGGATTAGAAGGCTCAGCATAATTTGTCACTCATGACAAAAATAGGCCATTAAGCCAAAGGAATCTCCAGAACAAGAACAAAAAAGAGGAGTTACAAGTGAAATGCAAGACTCACAAGATGTCAAGACCCTGCTTAAAAATCTCAGACAGAACATAAACAGCTTTGGCCCTACAACTCCTCATCACTTTCATCACTATACTAAGGTTTTGCTAGGTTCTATGAAAGACATGAAATTATTGGATCAGAGATGCCATACTCTCTTTTGTAATCATCTTCCTAATATATACATGTAAGCCTCCACAATGCATTATTTCCAAATGTCAATGATCACACATAATCTTTTATGGATCAAAACTCTTTTAAATGTACTTAAGTTTCAATTAGATAAAGAACCTTAACTTCAAATAAATTTAACTCTTTGAGAACTTAGAAAGAAATAAGACTTGGAGACTAGTCACAGAGGCTGTTGAGATTTTGAGATTGGATAATAAGTAAAGAGGAAAGTTTTTTTTTTGAGGCACCAGTACCACTTCCCCACCACACTGAATAAGTATAATCCTTGTAGTCCCTCTGTCACCACTTGATAACACATACAAATAAGTAGCATGGTGATCAATACAATACCAAGTAGACAAGAAATGAGAATAAAGAAAAATATCAACAAGGGGATTATTAGTGGGTCCAAGACCAAAATAATACTCTTAACTAACATCATAAGAACTGTATGATTGTCAGTACGGAGAGGTAATAATAAGATCTTAGGAGTTAACAGGTTTAGATACACATTTAGATGTGCTGTTTCCCTAAAAGCTGAAGTTCAAAACCCAAGTTATCTCACCAAAACAGAAATTATTGAGGATGGAATGAAGGATTACAGGTGTGATCTTGAGAGTAAAAGCATGAACCTATCAATAATTGATATTAAACAAATAATGGAACCATGTGGAACATTAAATATAGGTACTATCTCCTCTATAGGTTGAAGCAAAAGTCAGAAATTCTACAAAATATAGCCAACTAAATTTTTCTTACCCCGCTTCTGAACTCTGATAAAGTGCATCATTCCAACCGATCAGATGCTACCGGTATGTTATATTGGAACTTGAGCAATTTTCATGAAAACATTTTTCTATGTTTTGACTCATGAAACCGTTCTCTTGAAAACATTGTAAATTTATTTCTGCACCCTAAAAAATTTTCAGGAGAGTGCATTCCCTCAGACGCCTCTAACGGCTCGCAAACTTTGAGTTAAATCATCGTTTCTCGGCGCCTACTCTTTGCTCGTGGTCATCCATCACTAATTGAGATCATCTTTCGCGTCGACTCAGTTTCTTTAAGAGTTTGTTTACCGTGCAAGGTTAGAAATTATTAATTGCTCGCTTTCCTGAATTTGCAATGAACGAGTTTCCTCATATTTCTAGCGAATAATTAACAGAGAAAAGTTGAAAAACACGCCAACTTTATGTGCGTGTGTGATATTAAACAAAATAGTAGAAACAAACTTGATCGACCAGTTGACCGAACCCACAGATATACAACAAACATAAATTATACAGACTTCGTCTCGACCTGCAAATGCAGATATTACTCTGGGTAAAAAATCAAATTCATAAAAATAATGTAGAGTCAAATGCACTTCCTCAGACCTACCTTTCCTTCTAATTCAGGTGGAAACTTATTTTGAAAGCGACATGCAGTTCCGCGCGAGTAGTCCCTCTGGATGAAAACTTTAACATTTCGTTTTGAGGGATCGTCGGTGGACACCTGACAGACATTTTAGTACAAGTAAAAAGATAGGTTTTTTTCTAAAGCGGCGTACGCTGTTCTAAAAAAAAACCAACGTCTAAACACGTTAATCAACGATAATTCATACTGCACCCCAACCTGAGCCGTCGCCATGTTGACTTCTTCTTGTCAAAGAGCAGCCTTGCTACCAGGCCTTCCCCGTTCAAAGCTATCGGAATAATCAGTGGAATATACTAAACGCGTAGAACTACGAAATTATTGGCGGAGTGAACCAGAATATTCAAGTTACCACATTCAAATGTATCTATACCCTTTGATTCGCTTTTTTTTAGACGATCGGATGATCTGAAGAACCATGCAAGTCTTGAAGGATAAGCTTCACCGTAAGTAAAGCCTGCGATATTTTTTTACTGAAATCACTGTTGAGCACTAAAGTGAATTAATTATTTGCGATCAGTGCTAGCGTTGTTTACATTTTAACAGGTCAAGAGCTCCAGTTTGTTTCTGCTAATAGATTCTCCGTCGAATCCGTTTGAAATTCATAAACGAGGGCAACCAATTAACGTGAAGTAGTAGATATCCTTGTAGTTTCGAGACAATAGACGTTCAAAATTGTACGGCACGTTTCGCTTGTAAGGTCAACGTGCTGCGAGTCGCACCATAATGAAGAATTTTAATCAGGTTTCATAATCGGTACACATGGTGAAAGTATCAAAGCATTGGCAAACAAAGGATCACAGAAACACTCCTTTTCATTCCGCAAGCTTTGAATTTGCCCACAATCGACATGTTCATGATAGATATAAACATTTAAGCTTGTGAACAATGGCCTGAAAGTTCAACTTCGAAGATTCAAATGACGAAAAAGGAAATAAATCATTGAATTATTCTTCACTGAATTCGAGATTTTTTAATGTCATCAACCCAGAACGACGATATCGGATTGTGATTTTAAAGCCCATGGCCTCGTACAGCGTGGTACATTTCACACTTATTCCCCAATTCTACTTACAGACGGCGACTACGTGTTCACAAACCTGCTTTTGTACGTTATACTAATGAACTAAGAACCAAATAATTTTGGCGTCAAGATTCAAAGCTAATTATGTAAGCTGCTAAACTGAGCGCACTGATCAAAAAAAAAACTTGAACATTGCATGTCTTGTTTGCTGCTCCGAAATTCGAAGTTATAATGTAAACAAAGTTGACAGCATAGCAGTCGAGGAAAACCAGATGAAAGGAAGGTTTTAGAATATAAGATCTTAATTCAGTCAAACTTTCGTAAACAGTATAACAAACAGGAGGCGATCAGTTTAGCTATAATCTGCCTACAGATCTGCGCGAGATTTGTCACGGTATTTTAAAACACGAACAAGAGAGTTCTCAGGGAGATCCTATTGTGTTCCGTGTCATTCGATGCCGCCAAAGAATAACACTCGGTAAATTCTATTGTCTACAGTGAACACGAGCCGTGGTTTATTATTTATGTTGTATTGTATGTGATAAAAAAATTATGCAAAATCAATCATTTTAGCATCATTTGAACTCTGAATTAAATCGAACTCTTTCCCTTTTCGCTTTTCGCAATCGAAAGAAATATTCATAAATAAAGTGGGAAGTCACGAAACTCGTGGTAACTGCCGAAGGACCGCCGAAAGACTGCCGAAGGACGTCGTTATTCACATTTGCTTGCATTTCGCATTGCTTTTTCAACGCCTCTGGTGAACCAACTTGACAAAACAACAACTGATAACCGTGACAAAATCCTCCGTAACGGTCTGTTCTAGATATTCAAGATCGAAATAAGTATTAAATTACAGTACAAATTTCACGAGTTTTATTTCACCTTTTAACAGCTTTTAAGGCTCAATTGAGATTTCATTGGAGAAAAAATCTCTCCATTTGATTTTTCATTCGAATCCGCTCTTTCGAGGTCCACAATACAATTACTACGACAAGATGTGATGTTATTATAACTTTGTGGTTCAGTTTTAATGTTTGTTTTTTTTTTTAATGAATTTGCGTGGAGGATCTCCGGCAAAGTATTACCAGTTTTTGAGGGCAAACATCTTGCGCAATCCCCTAGGTTGTTATCTGCTAAACATAGCTTACAGAACTCATTCAAAGGTCGCCAACAATTTGCTAATGAGGCTTAAAATTAAATTTTTGCCCCGTGGTATTTTAGCTTCAGAATATCTGAATTCCCTGAAATACTCTAAGTAGTGTCAAATTGAAACAATTACGACCCCATGATTACGCTCCTTCTATTTGATTTGTAACAATTACAATTTTATTATCCTGTAGATATAGGCCATCATCATAGCCCAAAGTTAAGTCACGGCGACAAGCGAAATGGGTCCAAACAAAAGAACAAGGAGGAAAAACGTAAAGGTGATAAAGGTGTGTCGATATCTTTGTTAGTGAACTCATCGGAGGAACAGTGCTACAACCTCTCTCCGTTTTATCGGTTGAGGCTCTTTTTTAATTGCATACCCCCTTTGTTTTACTCTATGATTTTCATTTTGTTACAAAAAGTGAAGATGGAATCTTTCCTGAATCGAAACCTCTCCTAACTAGAAGGAAATTTAAAGCTTGGCGCTAAGATTTAATTTTCCATATTTGGAAAGCATACCCAAATCTGGTAATTTCGTTTTCTCTTTATTTTGACGTCATGCCTTTACGTTGAGCGGCATCCATGTTGGATTTCCTTCGCTGACATCTATGTGAGGTTGCAATCTTAGGCCATCCTGGCCTTTCATCTGTATTTGGTCTTTCTTTAGTGATAAATTCAGTTTTAAGACATCTATGTGTCGCTGTATAGGTGTATATTGCCGTTAATGCGATGGCAAGTGAGTATTTGCCGATGTCAAATACAAATCTCACATTGATATCGAAGAACTTGTCATTGTGAAGATGCTCATTATGATATTTTGTGTCTGCAGAGGATGGAGGAGAAGTACAGTGGTGCTTTTCACAGGTGAAAGGGACATTAGACGAGGATCTTACCGAAGGTAAAAGTGGCTCTAGCTTCGAACTGTTACTCGGTTAGGGATCAAGTCTGGTCTCTATGAAAGCTTAGACTAGTACTTTACGCAAGGTACAAATTTGTTCACTTGTACTTTAGAAGCAACTTCATCCGCCTACATCTTTATGATTTTCAGCTGATATAGTCTCCACTGTTGAATTTAACCATGATGGTGAGCTTCTTGCAACTGGTGATAAGGGAGGCAGGATAGTTATCTTTCAGAAAGAAGAAGCGGTAAGAATTTTTTTTAACAAATGACCGGTTGTTCAATCATTCCCGTAGGTGTTAACTGTGTTTTCGTACTCGCTTTTCATGGTTTCACTTCTCTTTCAAATTGTTGTTCCAGCCGAAGGGATCACAGCATTATGGTGAATACAACGTGTACAGTACTTTCCAAAGTCACGAACCAGAGTTTGATTATCTTAAAAGTTTGGAGATCGAAGAAAAGATAAACAAGATCAAGTGGTTAAAGCGGCGTAACGCATCGCACTTTTTGCTTTCGACTAATGGTGGGTTTATTTTTTAATTTACTCGTTTTACCGTCATAACACCAACCGTTGGTTAAGGAATAGGACACATGAAACTTAGATAAATGCCGGCTTGTCAGTTTCGTCCAGCTGACCTCAGATAGGTGTGTCAGCAGATAGTTTTGGTTTTGATATTGTACATTTGTGTGGTAATAGTTCACTACGTGGGGCATATCTTATTTATCAGTCTCTTCATTAATCAAACAATTGTGTGACAGGGAAATGTTCTCGCATACAATTCACTCAGAAACCTGTTAAAATATAAACACTTGATTTCACTTTGGAATATTTGCATCCTAGAATGAAACTAGAGATAATGTGAACATTTGAATTCTTGAGCTTTGAAAATGTTGTAGCATATATTACAGTAGAGAGACTTTCCTTACAACAGTTTCAAGCCCAAAACTAAAATCAAACTTCTCTTTGCAGAATATTAACCCTGTAACCCCTAAGAGTGACTAGCATCCAATTTCTCCTTTCAATGTCACCCCTGAATCACTCATTAAGGCCACAAGAATAAAGGAAAGGATCACCAACTAAAGATGCTGTTGATTGTTAAACAAATTCTCCTTGTCAGTACACAGGAAATGTCTAGAAAACAATATGGAAAATATGCCTAATAGTATTAGGGATTGAATGGTTAACCTTCAAAGCTACTTGTATTACTTGGTGTGACAAATGTATTTTAAAAGATCTGATAACAGCATAATTTCTAATCCCTTATCACTTTCTTTCATTCTGAAATAAGCACAAGAGAAGGTTCCTTTTCAATTCATTTGTTGTAGTGTTAAAAATGTTTAAACTTGCTGTGTTAGTAATAGCAGTTTACTTGGGACGATCTTTTTTTCATTACTGTTAACTTTGTTTAATGTGGTATATGTTACATTAGCTTATGCTAACTAGTTGTTGTAAAACCCTCTATGTATAGCTAAGTGGTTGTAATTTTCGAACCAGCCATCTTTCTCAGTGACATTTCAGTGTTGAACAAAGTGCTTGGCTTTGAAAATGCTTATGCTTTAACATTAATGTACATTTTTATGGATTGAAATAATTAGTTTTTTTTTTTGGTTTTTGCAGATAAAACTGTTAAGTTGTGGAAAATTTCTGAACGGTGCTTTGCTGCAAGTAACTTCAACCTGCGAGATGACCAGGGGGTACCAAGAAATCCTGAGGATGTAACATCACTTAGAGTACCTATTTTTAAGCCCTCTGAGCTGGTAGTGGAAGCAAGTCCTAGAAGAGTATATGCTAATGCACACACATACCACATCAATTCAATATCACTGAACAGCGATGATGAGACATACCTATCAGCAGATGATTTGAGGATAAACTTGTGGCATCTGGGGATAAATGATCAGAGTTATAGTATCCTTTTCCCTTATAGAGTAACTTTTTTAGTTATGAATTTGATTACTACTTAATTGCTTATTCTCTTTCTTTTGTGCTCCACTTCAAGTTTGCATAGTAAGCAATTGTTTTTTTGTTGATGTTGTTGCAAAGTGTGCCAGGAAAACTATTTTTATTGAGAGAGCACAAATTATACAAGACATGATACTTGTGTAGTTAATGGGTAAAATTCAAAGTCTTTCTAATTTTTTTTAGTATTCATTATTGTTAGAACTGAAGTGGAACATATTGAGCTTTACCGTGATTAATTGTCTGTCACATCCTGAAACCAATATCTGTCAGTTATGGACATGAGTATCTCAGTAATGTTAGTGCAATGAAATGTAAGGAGCCAGTTATTGGTACACAAGGCTCTGTGCATACCTTTTATCAAAAAAAGTGATGTAAAGTACAAGAATAATTTTTAGCAGTGAATTATGCTCCAAAGTGTAACATGACAGTGTCACAATCTTCACCCATAACATTGTGGTTGCTCAGCCATAACAGATGTTACAGGATGTGGCCCCTATTGATAACCCATAATTGTGTTTGTAACCAGAGGAACAGTTTATTTGTTTGTCTTCTTATCACTGTGATTTATGACAGTGTTTCTTTTTTTTAGAAAGTGCATCCATTTCAATGGTAGAAATAATGAAAGTGAAACCCAAACTTTTCTTAACAGTACATTAGATATTGTTGATATCAAACCAGCAAATATGGAGGAACTCACCGAAGTTATTACTGCAGCAGAGTTTCATCCAATAGAGTGCAGCACATTTGCATACAGTAGCAGTAAAGGAACTGTCAGGCTATGTGACATGAGGCAATCAGCATTATGTGACAGGCATACCAAAAGTGAGTTTTTATGCCTTTTCTTTGAACTTACTGTTATGGCTTCATGTTTTTATTTCTAAGAAGCTCCTGATTAAGGGTTCTGCTTTACAGGGGTATTACTGTTTAAAGATTTTTTTCATGATTGGTTGCCTTGTAAGTTCACTCACTACTGTCAGTTCTAATGTAAAAATATGGGATCTGTGGTGGCTCTGGTTAGTAGATAAGCAAAGATGTTTTCTGTAGGTCTCAATTAATGCCAATACTGGTATGAATTACCAATTATTTCTCCTGCAGTGTTTGAGGAACCAGAGGATCCTGGGGCAAGATCGTTTTTCTCAGAGATCATTTCATCAATATCAGATGTAAGATTCAGCCACAGTGGCCGGTACATGTTGACACGTGACTACTTGACTGTCAAAGTATGGGATCTAAACATGGAAAGCAAACCAGTGGAGGTCTACAATGTTCATGATTACCTTAGAAGCAAGTTATGCTCACTGTATGAAAATGATTGCATCTTTGACAAGTTTGAATGTGTTTGGAATGGAAATGATGGGTAAGTTAGAGGTGATACTCTTCTTTGTAGAGGAGTTTTCTTTTTGTCCAAAATTTCAATTCATGTAATGGAGTATTGATTCCCCAATAGTTTCAATTATCAGTTAAAGAACTTCTTGCTTAACTAAGGTCATTTATGCATAGGATATAAATGACAGAATCTTTATTCAAACTGTGTAAAAGAAATGGAGGGTATAGATGATTATTTAGCCAATATACAATTTACTGACCTGGACGTCATCTTACCTTAATCATCTTACCCATGAATCTATCAAGTGCTTAAGATTATTCAGCTGAAAGAGTAAATTATTTCTGTTAAACTGGGTTGAACATTGGGTTTCAGTCCTCGCATAATGTATTTGAACTGCAGTAAGCTTTTTCTTACTTGTACACGGTTTTGTTTCCAAGTGTTACTTTTCATCTGGGTCTTGTAAACAAGACATCTGTAGGGAACTGTGGAAACCAGATGCATTATGAAAGGCTCTATTGCAATAGCCTTGACAGACACACAACTTTCCAAGTTAGGTCAGGGTTTTTTTTTACCTTAAATAACATGTGAAGGGAGACAAGGTGTTTTCAAGTACAACAGTTACTAAAATGCTAATTTAAACTTTTAATTGGTGGTTTTCCCATTGATTATTTGTAGTGGTTCAAATTATGGGGGCAGAATGACTAATGAAGTGAAAATTTTGGATTGATGCTATCTACATTTATTGTACCAATCAGTTATGTGCAAACCTAAAATTATTTGCCATTTATTTAGTTTTTTATTGATTCATTTGTTTGTTTTTTTCCATTTTCAGGTCTATAATGACTGGTTCTTACAACAACTTCTTTCACATCTTTGACAGAAATGACAAACAGGATGTTTGTTTAGAGGCATCACGGGAGTTTAGTAAGCCACGGCAGATTTTAAAGCCTCGTCGTGTAGCGGTAACAGGAAAGCGAAAGAAAGATGATATCACAGTAGAATGCTTGGACTTTAGTCATAAGATTCTTCACACTGCTTGGCACCCACAAGAGAACATTATAGCAGTAGCAGCAACAAATAATTTGTACTTATTCCAGGAAGCCAGAACATAACTCTTGTAACTGTTTATAGGATGCTTTTTTTTTTTTGTAATGATAACAGACAATTTTGAATTTAGGTGTATCTAAATTGATGGTATATTGTATAATGGTTTACACAGCAACTGTTAGATAATTGTCATCGAAATTTTGAGAAAACCATGAATCCCATGGAGTTATGAAAAAATAATTTTGTCGGCATTTTGTTTAAATTTTGCATAGATTTGAGTTGCCATTAGTTCTTTCAGCCTGGACTGTTTCCTACATGTATAGCCAAACTGATATTTTTTTTTTCTTTTCTTTTTTGTCCCTTCACATTCTTTGAAACTGCTCTACCTTTATTGGGAATGGGGGCGGCTCCCAAATCTTCATTTGAAAAATGATTTTCACATGTCATGTAAATATTTAAAGCATTATTTGTTAGGAAGCTTGTTGGGGGAAGCTTGTGGGAGCGAGTCTCTATTGTGTAACTTAATTAATTTTAAGAACCAGTCTTTTAACTCTTGCTCTACGTTCCGTCCAATTATTCATTTCTTATTTAATTGGAATCTTTCCGTGTGTTCTTTTGGGTCTCTCCTATTTCTCTGGTTGAAGCAGACTGCCTTAAAATTCCAATATAGTGCATCATTTGACTTCTCCTTTCTTGACCTTCGACGTAGTGGTGAAGTGGTACTTTTGTAGTGATATCAATACCCTGAAATGGTATACGATAAATTTGTAAGTGCCAACACCTTGATACTTAATTTCTTTATCATTTACTGTGAACATTTTCAGAGCCTGACAAGTGTTATTGTTTCTCCTCAACAAGATCAATGATGTTTTAGCGTTAATATCTGGACTATTTAAATGGAGAATGAATATATTGATTTGTAACTGCTTATAATAAAAACAGATTTTGTTTTTATAATTATTTGTATTCGATTTAGAGCACAGCACTTTGGCTCTCCCAAATGACAGGATGGGAGGGGCAATCATATGGGGAAAGTCAGAGACTTCTAAAAGTAAACGCGGGGAAAATGTGAGAGTTTGCCTCTGTTGACGATGGAATGAGTAGGTGCACCCTGAACCTCCCCTTTCGCAGGGTGTGTTAGTATGGCAGCTATTTGGCTTTGGGCAGAAAGATCAATATACGTGTCAAATTGCAGAATTACGGACATTTGCGTGAAAGGGATTGCTTGATATGTGCTTCCAATCGACAATGAACCATCTCAAGACAGCAGTAGCCTGCAAACAGGCTTCCTGTCAGTTAAGGGAAGATTGGCGAAAAGGAATTGGAATTTGAGTTCTCTCCCACCAGACTGTTTGGTGGGAAGTAGGATGAATGCAGTGGGGCCAGCTAAGGCTCAAGATAACTCATGGATTTAACTTTATCAAAAATTAATTTTTTACACCTTTCATTCAGAATTTGGCAAACAGAAAAATGGAGCAATAAATTTTTATCAAATCTTCCCTTTTTCTCTTGGGTTTGGTCAATTGAAGGTGGTCAGTGGCGGATATTTACCGAGCCGCGAAGTGGTCATATTAATATCTACCGCCAGCCACTGACAATAAGGTGAATAGTTGTTTCAGTATATACTAGAACAGTGACAAAATAGAACAAACGTATGATTTTTACTCAGTTATTCATGCAACAATCGCAATATTTTCAGCTCAAACTCCATGCGCACTGCTCGGAAGTGAATAGTTGACAATTATTCATTAAGCGCGTTGGATATGAGATGGTAAATAGCCAAGATGCGCAAAAAATAATTGTTTTATTCAATTTCATTAGATCCTGGACATTTTTGATATTTGGAGCCTTTTTTCAGCTCTGCAATCGCGTTGCTGCGATACATTTCCGTTTAAGTTGACTCGGAATATGAGCTGATAACCGGAGTTGAGTGAATCATCAGAACATTCGAAATTAAAAATTTAATAAATAAAAAATAGCCTCCATTTGGCGCGAAAATATGTACGGATACTTATCCTGCGAACAGTTTTCCGAGAGTGTTTGAGCTTCGAGGAACAGATAATGTTTACGAACAGCTTACTGTGTACAGCGTCGGATGCTTGCTTCTAAGTAGCACGACTTCATGAACAAAACAAGATTTCCCTTCTTCTGTTACAACCATAGAGCCCCCTTCTCGCCTTTAATTTAATTTAAAACGAAGAGCTACCGTAGTAAGGTTTGAGAATTGGGGAGTGTCCTTTGGGTGATATCCTCGGATATCCCCCAGTTTTAGCTGGGGAATAATCGTTAACGTGAAGCGTCAGACCAGCTAGTCGCACGCGAGCAAAAATATTTGATAGCTCATAATCGAACATATACCGATTGATATTCCCTTATTTTCAAGCTATAAGTCCATTACCATTAACTTAAGGTGAGAGAGTGTTTTGTAGTTGTTAAAAAAGAAGGGACATGTTTGCTTGTTCATAAAAAGTGAACGGTTAGTTGTTCGTCAACATTAATTCCCGTAATTTGTCGAAATATTTGAAGGATAATATAAAAATAGCCACGTTTGGCGCGGAATATGCTTGTTCGTTCACACTTTAAGGACGAGATTACTCATGTTTGCAGGAAACGTTTGGAAGTTCAGGAGTTTGTTGCACACTCGTCATCAATATTCACGCAAATCACCACTTGAAACCAGATAGATTCGTTATCTGCTTGGTGCGTCTTACGGTCGTGAAAGTACAATTATTCTTTGATATTATTTTTCAGTTTCGCAACAGTCGTTAGTTTGAAAAGTAAGGCAAGTGCTTTGTCTGATCGAAATTTCCCACCCAGGCAATCCTTTCTCACTTCCGAAAAATGAAATGAACACTTTTTTAAAATGTATATTCAACTGTGGGTCGAACTAAACGGCTCACCTCTTTGAAACTTCCAATTTATTAGTTTTAAAGTAAGCCATATCAAACTCATGGGGTACAAATAGTCTTAACATGAATGTAGTGACCACGCCCACTTCAACACCCCACTCAAATCGAGTGAAATTTTCGAATGTTTTACCATCGTGCGGATTCTCTACGGAAAAAACACTAAATGTACCTCTGAAATATTAAACTATAATATTGTGGCTTTCTATTTCGCTAATTTTCTAACTTAAAGGTTAAGTTTTTCCCTCGTAATTTTTACCTTTTCTCCGAGCGGTTGCGTGAAATTAACAAGGCGTTTTTGATCAAAACACGACCGAGCGAAGGGTCTCGGGTGATATCTCTTTTACGCAGGCGCAAATTAAAAATGTACCGCCAGAATCAATAAGAGGAACAAATTTCCTTTGTTTTGATATGCAAAGTGTCGAACAAAAAGCAGATTTACCTTCGTCAAATGGCGTTTAAAAACAGCTGTATCTTCCTCCTTTTGATTTTTCCTGTTTTGTAAGCGTGAAAGCAGTAGGAGAGGGATCGGGAAACTCAGAAAGCGCTCCGGGAATTAATCTGCCATCGTTTACTTACAAGATAAACAAGTAAGATTTGTGAAGTTCGTTGAAGTATGAAGTCTAAATAAATGCCTTTTTAAAGCTTGTTTGCTGGATTTTTCGTAAACTTCTCCGATTAATTTTTCGTTTCAGCTTACTAGTCTATACTATTTCAAAGCAATGTCAAGACGAAGACGGAGAACCATGAGTCGGTCCTTTCAACAATCGTAAACAAAGTGTTTGAGCAATCAGGTATACGAGGTGTAATAATCAATAGCCGCATATCAGAAGTCTTCAGAAAGAAAGTATTCTGTCTTCAGAAAGCTGTCAAGAAAGCTAATAATCGTGGCGGAAGGCAATTAAACGGGCCCTCGGTATCGATTTAATATCATATCGATCTCAATATCATACAGTTTTGTATCTTTCTTCCGTGGATTCGCCTTTCTAACGAGGGTGTATGTTGAGAATTCATTGCAAAATCGCTTTGTTTTTTTAATTTCCCTCTTTGACCTGTACGCCATTTTGAAAATTCGTAACAGAGAGCATGCGCATTACGTGGGGTAAGTGGTTGCGTACACCTGGAACCGAGAAAAACAAATGTTCGTCGCACTGGGGAAAGAGTTTGATATGATTTAAATAGCCCTTTCATTAATCTCAACAAATTTAATTTAACTTATTACTTTTTTTATGAGACGAATGAGATTTAGTTTTACAACATTCGTTAGGTGTCATGTATCACTTCTATCGTTATCATCAATTTATTCCCTTTCTTAAACTTTGCCTCTGGAGGTTTTCCAAAGAAAGCATGGATATCGATGATCGCCGCTGAAAAATTTCTATTTCACATAATAAACATTAAAAAAGAAAGAGATTAACTTCCCATTTTCGATTTCCCATTTCATTTCTCATTTCCCATTCTGAGGAGCCCATTACTCGGAGCTTCCATCTTCCATACTTACCCTCTGAGTCAACCCTTTCCCGAATCTTTTTATTTTTAGAAGCACCTCCCACGGGATTTTTCGCGGGCGTTTCCATAATAGCCAATCATAAGAAAGCTGTAGTCCTCTATTGTTTACGTCACATGCACATGTAGGTGATATTGCAAGATCTCATGGTCTATCTTATCACTTTTATGCTGATGATACACAGCTATATTTATCTTTTGAAACGTCATCGCCTGAGGATATGTCAACATGTACATCTGCTCTTGAAGATTGTGTTAAAGATATTGACCTTTGGATGTTAAATAACAAGCTGAAGCTGAACAGTGGGAAGACTGAAATTATAGTTTTTTCATCCTCCTATCGCCCACGTCCTGCGTTAACAAACCTGGTGATTGCCTCTGACACTGTTGACTGTTCAACTACTGCTAAAAATATTGGAGTTATTTTTAATAACTCTCTATCGATGTTGCCGCACGTTACTGCTGTTTGCAAGTCTTCGTTTTTTCATTTACGCAATATTTTTAAGATTCGCAAGTTTCTTTCTTACGATACATGTAAAACTCTAATTCATGCCTTTGTTACTGCAAGGATCGACTATTGTAACTCACTCCTCTACGGTCAGCCTAAATGTATCTTGAAACGTTTACAGAGTGTCCTAAATAGTGCTGCTAGGCTTATTCACCTTACTAGTAGATATGAGCATGTTACGCCGTTGCTTATTCAACTTCATTGGCTACCAATTGAACAAACAATAACTTTCAAAATTGTAGTAATTACATTTAAGGCGCTTCATGGTGCTGCACCTAGCTATATCACTGATCTCATCAAGCCTTACACACCTGGTAGACTTCTTAGATCCTCCAATCAATTTTTACCTTCTACATCTAAATTTAATCTGAAAACTTATGGTGGCCGGTCTTTTACTGTTGCCGCACCTTCTGTTTGGAATGCACTTCCATTCGAACTTAGATCTTGTAATTCCCTTTCTTCTTTTAAATCTAAGCTCAAGACGTGGCTTTTTAAAATTGGTTATGATGTTGTATAGAATGATGATGTTTTTATAGGATGACAATGTAGTTTTTGTAGTTTTGTAGGTTTAGGATTTTAGTTTTGATTTTACTGCAATTGTCGTGGTGCGATTTTATAAAAGAAATCAAAACTAAGTCTTCTAAATAGTAATACGTTTCTTCAGCATAATTTCTTCAACTGGCCTTTACTTCGCTGAAAAGCTCTTGAAATATTAGAACTGTTTCATAGCCTTGCAACCTTAAGAAACTTTTCGAACAGATTATCACATCACTCTCCATGTGGTAGAGCAAATTTGGCATTTTATTTGTCCACAT